TACTGCAGGTAATACACTGACTATACTGACTAAGTACCCAAATAACCTGAACTGTCACTTAAAAACCACAAGCACCCAGTCCTCTGAATCCCAAATAATAAGCTCCTTCGTCCGATGGCCTAAAGACTCACTCGTCCCTCTGGCTTACACTTGTCCCATCCAGGCCTGATCCAATATTAGTAATGAGAGACAAGCAGACCTGCCCCCTGTATCCATACACACAGCCGCACCCATAGATCAGAAACACACCCAGACCAACACCCCAGTTATAAAGAACCAAGGGAGGGTCACAAGAACACAATAGGTGTGGGTGAAGTGTTAATGGAAAAATAAGGCTGATCTTCCTTCTGTTAAGAGGCTGTATGGTGTTTGGTGGAATGACACTTTAATAATTAGCCTTTGTAGGGGGTTCGTGCCCAGCTGAGAGATAGCGTGTGACTATGTTCTGCCACGGCCACCCACATAGATAAAAGAGGAATGGTGTCGTGCAGACAAAGACACGAGGCCTCACCGGTCCTTCAGTTGCCTGCACTTTTCTGGAAGAGTCACACATTCACTGTTTGGGAAGTCATTTGCTTCTTTTTTTTTCTTTTCCTCCACATCAGAGGGGAATTTCCATCTTAACATGTGTAAGGTTGCTCTTCACACATCCACTGTTTATGTTTCTCTTCCCTTTTTAAGAGCAAGTGTGATTTAAAAAAAAAAAAAAGGGTTTGGCGTTCATTTGCTGCACGTCTCTCATTTAAACAAGAATATTCTTCCTTTGCATGCAAGCAGCAGGTGTTGTTTGTTCTGAAAGATAATAGCAGGTTAAGCCTCTCACACCATTTCTTGATTTATAGTTTATCTTTGCCATTTTTTTGTCCAAGGTAATTGAGATAATTAGGTCAGGCTTCTGTAGAAGACTCCAGCACCTGATCTGAAACCAGTATCCTGTCAGGTAATGTGAGAAAAGATTGTTGTGATTTCTGATTGGGTTTGGTACAGTAGTGCAACAGGCCTGCACACTGTTGCGTGTGAACCTCTGGCTTATTGCCAGATGAGCGAGCGAGTTAAAGGAAGAGTTGCATAAGACTTGAGGTATGTTTTGATTTTGAAAGAGTGTGTGTCACGGAATATGTGTTTAAATTGGCAATATCCATAGTCAAGAGTCACGTAGGCCATTTAATTTGACAAGTGATGACACTGATTGTTTCACATCCATTTTGATCATTACCTTTCTAAAAATAATTTTGCAGAGTAATATAAGGACGCTCCAGCCACGGTTCAGTCACCAATATATGGAAATGATGGGTGGTGTCTGAAACACAGCATAATAATGGAGTCAAGTAAGACCAGCTGCTCCATGTTGTTATAGTGTGTAAATGTATGGGGCACCACATATAAAAATCTGATTATAGTTTTCTAGCTAATAAACTTTGAATATTTAGCTCATTTTCCTCACATCTGAGACAGAAATTCATGTAAAACAACATGTTATATGTTATATATATTGTTAACAATATGCTTATATGCAAAAAATAAATGTTAAATCTGAATTTAAATATTAAATCTAAATGTTAAACCAAAATATCAAATCCATATCTATTTGTCAAATGCTAAATCTAAATCTTAAATCTGAATCTTAAATCTAAATCTTATATCTAACTCGCTATTAACAGTAGGTTAAAGGGGCTACAGTATTTGTAGATTTTTGCTATCGCTACAAGCCAACATGAGCATTAACACCTCTTTACTTACCAGTCTTGATAATAGCTTCAGTCATTTTGTGTTTACAGTACCAGAGGTTGTAATACGCCCTCTTCAGGGCAGACTGGACGGTACAGTGACTCAGTATTGGAAAGTGACGAGATGGGCTGACCAGGCCGAAGCTATCTGATTAGCATTCTAACTTCTGTAGGAGAAAAGAAGTGAAAGAAATAGAGGCAAAACAAGAGGGTTGCTTTCCACCACTGGAGACAGATGTTGCAGATTAAAGTTTGATGCTGAACTCACAACATTTCTTCTAGACTGGTAAGTAAACATCTCTTAATGCTAATGTTGTTAGCAAAACTTTCAAATAGCTCCTGCAAATAGTGTCAGTCATCGTTGATTTGGCGACACCTGTGGTTATTGGTGTTGACGGCAGGTTTAATACTACAGTAAAACAAACTATTATAATTTTGAAGAAGTTAGGCAATAATTGTTTAATCGTTTTTCCATCATTCTGTGAGTAAACCATAGTCTGATTTTGTCCTGCACACGTCATGAGTCTGCAAACAGCACAGTGAAAGGAGTGGTTACCTCGCTGAGAGGTTAGAGTGTGCAGCCTGTCAGCTGCAGCTTGTAGGAGAGCGAGCTACAACAATCAAAGCTGGGCTACAATTCCAACGCCACAAAAATGTCCTATTTCCCAAAAGATATTATACTTTCAGGTACATTTCTCTATGCACAAGGGACTGATGAATTGAAGTTCCAAGTGTCACCAAAGCAGCAGTGAACATGTGCTTCAGAGAAAGTTGGATTCACCAGTATCTTTCTCTCATTTCTTTAACATCCTCTACAAGTCTACAAGCCGTGTTTTCTGGGACATGAAATGAAAATTGTCAGTTATTAGTCACATTGAGCCATAAACATGAGGAGTTGTGTTGTGCATGTTAAATTCATCACTGTATTCTGTCGAACAACTGTCATAATATTGTGGTTATGCACAAGCAGCTGGCCTATAGAGACTGCTTGAGGGAGAGAGTGAAGGAAGAGTGAATTTATTCTATGCCTTTGTTGTTTTCAATAATGATTCTTCTTGCCCTAAATCTAAATCCAAGGTTGTGGAGTCTTGGGAGCTATTTTTTTATTTCCTCCAAAAGAGAAGACCAGCAGTTGAAAGCAAAGATTTAGAATGTAACAGTATGAATGTATTAACATTTAGATTTAGATTTAACATTTAGTATGTATACATATGAACATTTAGATTTAGGGTTATTGTTACATATAAACCTATGGTTAACAATTATATACAACATGTTTTACATTAATTTTTTTGTCTCAAATGTGAGAAAAATAAGTTAAATGTAAGGAAAGTAAGCTAGATATTAAAAATATATCACCTAGAAAATTGTAACCAGATGTTTATATTTGGTGTCCGATGCCTGTGTGTGGCTGACAGCAGTAGTATATGACAGTCCGCTGGTTTGGAAACCAAACAAAAATGTATGTATGGTGTTCAAAATCCACCATGCATACGTTATTACTTAGGCTATTAAGTATGAAGCCTATAACTGTACAATAGTTGTACAGTACTGTAATCTGTATATAGGCTTTAGTATAGGTTATATCAGCACCATGGACAGAGGCCACCAGGTACTTGAACTGAATTTCCTGTTTCACATATAAAGTGCACTATGTGTAATTAGCATCATTGTAAGTACATACAGAATACTATGTTTTCTATTAATGCTGGCTATTTTTGCAAATACTAATTCACTGTAGTGCTGCTTGTATCCCCTTAATATACGCTCCCTTTCAAGCCAGTTATTATACACTATGACACATGGCTCCTATCCTTTCCTAGTCCAAGTTCATGAAATGTCATTTTGACCTTTGTATTATAGGTATTTTCAGAATCCTCAAAGACTATTCTAACCATCTGGATTTTAAAAAAGTATTCCATCTGCTGCTCAATGAAAAATATTTTAACCTGTTTCCCATGTTGCAACTCTGTGTCCTATCCAGGTGGCCATCAAGCTGCTATCTTTGTTTTGATTTTGAAACAGAGGCCCAATTTGGGAAACAGATCATTTTTTCATCATGCAGACACAATATTTTTTTCAGCCAGATGGTTACAGAATCTTTGGGGCTTCTGGAAATACCTTCAGATAAATATAAGTGATTTCAATGTCTGGGTTTTTCCAACATTACATCAAATTACATCACATCACATCAATTACTAGGTTATGTTTTCACCCATTTCTGCTTGTTGGTTTTTTGTCAGAAGGATTACACAAAACGTACTGAATTGATTTGCACCAAACTTGATGAAAGGATGGTTGGAGTGGTTTTTCTCTGAAATCTGGTGTAGGTTTTTTGACACTGGTCTTGGCGGATGTCTGCGTCTGATTCAAATACATGAGAGGCACAAACTGGGGCTAGTTTATTTAGAACATATAAAAACTCCTTTGGTCCAACTACTTTTTAAGTATGGTCCTATTAATCAATACAATTTTAAGAGAAAGGAGCCTGCACCTGCATTGCCATAACAAGCCCATGGACAGTGCAGATAGACGGTCTATGTGTGATGGTCCAGACTCTGTGATTTGAGCTTTCAATTTCACTGATTCTGGCCCAGTCATTACAGTGAAGTGAAGGAGGAGAAAATAAGACATTTCGTAAACTACTGCAAATAAATCAGAAGTGATCATGAGAAATAAATCATTAGTAAGTTGGAATCTATTTTAAAATATTCAAAATAGATGTCATGTGTCTACTAGTCCTCTGTACATTTATTTACTTTTTTATTTTTATTTTTATTTTATTTCTAATTTATTTTATTTTAATTTGAATATGACCTGGACAATAAATAATTAATATGTGTTCTAGTGACTCCACAAACCATACAAGGGAGGTTTTATAAATTGTATTTTTTCAAATTTTAATTACTTTAGTATTATAATTATATTAGCATTAATTATTAGTATAAGTATAGTAAGTATTTTTCACAGCTGTAGTAGGCTTCCCTTTACTAATTTATTTGTATTTTGTTTTTAGTGAGTCTGCAGCATGTTCTTTAAAAAATACACCAAAGTCTCAAATATAATTAGTCTTAATGATTTATTATAACTGGAACAGCTGAAATCAGTGGGCAGAGCTCGCTCAGAATCTTGTGAACTAATTGCAAAAAATCACTGTATTTTTGTTAATTGGCGTCCTCTAGAGGATTACACTTGCAAGCACTGAACAATTAGAAGAATTACAACTCCCAACATGCAGTTCACCCGGTAGTGCTTCCGCATTTAAACCGCCGGTATTTTAATGTAACCTGTGCTCCTCCGGCAATGGACGGGAAAACTGTGAAGGCAATACTGTTCGACTTGGACAACACACTCATTGAGACAAGTCGGGCAGGTGGAGTGGCGATACAGAAGGTGATACATATAGATATTCCTCATGTAATATTTAAGGTTAGCGTCCGTATTTGTAACGTCAGCCTTTGGTCATTCAGGGCAGAGGGAGTAGGGGGGGCGATACACCGCTGTTCAGCTGATCTAAAAACCGTTTATTTAGCCTGAAAACCACCGGTGACAGTTTTACGCTCATACTAAACAAACATTTCTTTGTTTTTATAATGGCGTCTTACTGTTGTCATGTAGCCTACTGTGTTTCATTACAATTTCGAGGTACTTTTACTGCACTTAAAGACCCTTACTTTCACACATTATTTTCACTTATAATACAGCGATGCATAGGAAATTCCACCTTTAAGTACTGTGTTCTTTCCTTGTGTTTCTACATCTGTATGTCATGACAGACATTTTGATTGGTGAGTGCAGGAAAAGCATAGATATTAATTAACTAACTACTTATGGCTCTATTCTATTAAAGTGGCCTAGCCGTTTTTTACTTCTGATACCTCAAGTACATTTTTCTGTGTATGTAACGTCTTTAGTTATAATGGAGCATTCTTGTATTGTTGTGTATAGGTACATAAGTATAGGAATGAAATACCAATGCAGTCATTAAAATGTACCACTGGTCCAGCATGCACATACTAGGGCCTTGACTCTGAAGCAGCTAAATGCTGTTCAGTCATCCATTTTTGATTTCATTAAAGTATATACACCTGTGTTTTTCCTACTGTGAAATGTCAAAAAGTTTCCCCTCACACATCCGTGTTAGTTTATTTGCACCTGTGGTGGTGGACAACTCACACCTTTATTTATTTATTCACATTAGCACATGGAGTTCAGTGATATATTATATAAATATTAGGAGAACTCTGCCCAACTTCAGTATGAACAAAACTCGCAAGCAAAGATGTGAAGAAAATAGACATGTAGGCCGATGTACAGTATATATTGTTCATTTTATTCTTTGATTGAATATGTGACTGTTAACAGGATCTGACAATGTAATTTTGTTTTAACCAAAAATGTAAATTCACACACATAAACAAATTGTTAAATCCCCACATCCACCAAAATATGTGTGATTAATGGTGCCTACTTAACCCCAGACTGACTTTTTATGCATTTTTGTTCATTCATTTAATGAGGTAATCTGTTGTGTGTTACAGACCAGTGAACTTCTGAAGACCACACTGGGCATCGATGACAACACCATCAGCAGTATTTGTGACAAGTTCAAGCAGAAGCTTCTACAGGAGAGTTTTGACCCAGCATCAGGCAGATCCATAGATGATGTTCGAGTGGGTCACTGGGAGGAGAGCATCCAGGAGACCGTGGGCAGTAGTTCCCCTGTCTCTCTAGCAGCTCAATGCTACTACCTGTGGAAAAACAGTCGCCTGGAACTTCTCAGTCTGTCCCCTCCAGTAGGCAACCTCCTGAAACAACTGCGCAGCAGATACAAGCTGCTATTGCTGACCAACGGGGAAACTCAGACCCAGAGAGAGAAGGTGGAGGCTGTCAGATGTGAGGAGTTCTTTGATGCCATCGTGATTGGGGGAGAACATGCAGAGCAGAAACCATTCCTCTCCATCTTCACATTGTGTTTCAGCATGCTGGGGGTAGAGGCCCAGGACTGCGTTATGGTTGGAGACTCTCTGGACACAGATATTCAGGGGGGCTTTAATGCCAGAGTACGAGCTACAGTTTGGATCAGCAGTGCAGGTGGTGCTGTGCCAGATGGTTCAGTGAAACCAGACTACACCGTCCCCACTGTGTTAGACCTGCCACATGTTCTGGCACAACTGGAATAAGGACAACTCGTGACTAGAGCTGAACAATATGCAAAAATATAATATATAATCATATTGAGATTATTTTTGACAGGTATTGTAATTATGATATGAGTCGCTTTGTCATCACTTTTGCATTTGATTTTCATGAAAGCGTTTTAAAAAGATGATGTGATTTTAGTTGCGGCTCGTACCAACAAAACATGTTTGAAAAATATGATTTGTAGGCCAAGGCATCTCTGTAGCACAACAACACACACACGTGCAAAAAATGAACAATGTTGATTGCAGCTCCTGCAATTTGGATGTTGCACTTGGCCAGATTTTGATTATATTTCGATTAATTGTGCATCTCTACTGGGGACTGAAGCCGTGTGTGACATCACTTCAAGTGGGATTTTGTGGAAATTTGAATTCTTATGGATATGTTTGAATGTTCAAATATTTTATGGTGTTTTAGTACATTTACTCAGGTACTTCATTCAATTTTGTTATTTGTACTTTACTTGAGGATTTCCATGACATGTTGTTTGTACTCCACAAGACAACTAGTTACTCTTCAGATCAAAGCTTATAAAATACAACTGTTTAATACATTGTATGCTGTAGTTTAAACTAGTTCCACCTCAGGTACCTATAGCAGTAAATGCTACATATGCATCAACAATCTAATATATGTAAATATGAGTTGCGGGGGTCATTATGTTATGTCATTATATTATATGATATTACTGATATTTTAAAGCAGAACTTTGTAGTATGGAGTCGGTACTCTTTCCTAAACAATGGATCTGAATACTGTACTTCCACAATTGTTCACACATGGTGTAGCACCATGAGAATCAGCAACAGAACAGAGGAAAGTGGTACAGCACATCATTTTTATTCAACACTCAGAATGACTGTACAAAAGCCCTTTGGGTTACTTTTACACACCTCAACAGAACATGTCACTACATTCATTCCATCATATGCTGCTAATGTGGTCATTTTCTCTCAGTCTTGGCTAATAAAACACTTTGGACAAAGCAGTTACTTACATCATGGCTGTACAGTGCATTTGTCTTCTGTTGCACAGTTAATTCACGCAGCTTTACTGAGACTCATTCTTCTGATTTGTACTTTGTCATATTTAAGGCATGTATCCTCCAGCAAAATTCACTTCACATCTAATTTGACTTTGATGTTCATTGCTGCGAGCTCGGCTATAAAATAGCGGAAGACATAAGGAACAGACACTGAGTCAATAGAGTCACTCTTGCCGCACAGGGTGCACACAGTCTTGCGGTGGCGCATGGCCGACCAGTAGGGTGGTGGTTTCTCTAACAGAGGGGAGAGGAGGCTGCCACAGTCAATGCACACCTGAGCCACTGATCGGTCCGAGCAGTTGAAGAGTCGATCATGAAGCAGGAAGGAGGAGCCGTGCGCCAGGAGGGCGTCTCGCTCCATCTCCCCAAAACGGATGCCCCCCTGGATGTTCCTGCCCCCCACTGGCTGATTGGTCACCTTGTCTCGTGCTCCTGTGGTCCTCACCTGAAATTTGTCGGAGACCATGTGACGCAGCCGCTGGTAGTAGACAACTCCGATGAAGATGTCGGCCTCTAGCTCCAGACCGCTCACTCCACTGTAGAGCCGCTCTGTGCCGTAGTAGTTGTAGCCACCAGCCCGGAGCATTTCACCGAAGTACTCCAATGCAGAGTTCTCCTCAGAGAAGGTGAAGGGTGTGGCGTCGTGGCTCAGGCCGTGCAGCGCGCCGGACTTGCCGGCCATGCTCTCAATCAGCATCCCGATGGTCATGCGGGAGGGGAAGCCGTGGGGGTTGAACAGGATGTCGGGAGTCATGCCGCTCTCTGTGAAGGGCATGTCCTCAGCCGGCCACAGGCGGCTCAGGATGCCCTTCTGACCGTGGCGACTGGCAAACTTGTCACCAATGGTGGGGTTGCGAGGTATTCGTACCGTGATGCAGATACGTTTAAAATGGCCTGAGCCAGTGTCATTGCTGCAGATTTTTATGTTGTCGACTACACAGGCCTCTTGGCTCCTAGGAGAAAACAGTGAGGAAACACATCACTGATTGTGATTTGAAAGGTTTAGCATACAAAATATAATTACTGAATATTATTGAAGAATTTGTTTGTCTAAACATGTAGATAATTTCATCCATCCATCCATTATCTACACCGCTTATCCTAATAGGGTCGCGGGGGGACTAGAGCCAATCCCAGCTGACATTGGGCGAGGGCGGGATACACCCTGGAAAGGTCTCCAGTCTATCACAGGGCTGACATACAGAGACAAACAACCAGCCACGCACACATTCACACCTATGGGCACTTTAGAGTCACAGATAAACCTAACGTGTATGTTTTTGGACTGTGGGAGGAAGCCGGAGAACCCAGAGAGAACCCACACAGGCACAGGGAGAACATGCAAACTCCACACAGAAAAGTCCCAAGCGGGGTTCGAACCCAGAACCTTCTTGTTGCGAGGTGACAGTGCTAACCACTGCAGCACTGTGCCGCCCATGGAGATAATTCTCAAAGTAAAATCATTATATCATTATTTGAAAAGATAAGGTAATGCCTCCTTTAGTGAGCTGATGAAAAAACATTACCACACAAATGTTGACACTTACTTGTAGTAGGTGGTGAAGGTCTGGCCAGTGTTGAGGTTGATGTAGCTATAGAAAGGGTCTCCATACTGAAGTGTTGAGCCAATGTGAGGTAGTCCATCAGCGTCCAGTTTTCCATTCACCTCACCTGACTTGGTCCCGAACACCACGCTGTCTTCTCCCCTCACCTTGTCTGCCAGATCCACCAGCTCAGTCTTGTAGATACTTCCATGGGCAAAGCCTCTCTCCCATGATGACTTGTTCACAATCTAAGAAGAGTGATGAGTCTGTCAGGATTTTACTCCATTTAAAAACACTAAAAAGTTATTTGGTGTTTTAGTTCAGTATCTATTTGGGGAAATATTAACTACTTATTGTGTTTTATTTACCATTGCATCTTCCATGTCGTAGCCCGTGTAGGATATGACGGCCACGATGGCGTTTGTGCCACTGGGGTAGTTGTCCAGGTTGTAGTGGTCGTACATGTAGGGCCTGACCAGTGGGCTCTGTGGGGTCTGGAGCCGGTACAGCTTGTTATCTGAGCGATCCATAAACGAGTGCAGGGGGAAACCCATTGTTTGCTTACCTGCAAAGAGAATGGGTTTAATCTCTGACAGACACAATGAAAGAATTGGAATATTTTTCGATCTACTAAGCCTCATCATCTGTGTAGGTGTGTGGGACCATTAATGGCGGCCTCAGACTTACCCATCTGACACTGGTACATGTTCCTAGGACTCTGGTTGTGGTCTGAGTAGGGGATGAAGTTAGCCACCACGCTCAGCATGGTGTGAGGGAAAAGCTCCTGGTGTGTGGTCACTCCTGGCTCGATCTCATCCTCCAAGATGCCCACATTGATGTAAAGCTGCAGCAAGATAGAAAAAGAAGATTAAATATGCATTTCAGCTGCGTTCTTCAGATAAAGGTCTGATAGCTACCGTAACATCTTTTTTTAAATTGTAGTTTACACTTACCTGTTCAAATGTCCCAATTAACTCTTCCTTTCCAAGAGCTAGATTGTGTACAGGCCGCACCATACGACAGGGTGTAGTGAAGAGGAACAGGCCTGGGTACAAGCTGGCCTTGCCTGTTTTAGGAACCAGAACAATCTCAGTCCAGGGAGGGATCTTCTTCTCTCTCAGCACCTGAAGGTATTTGATTTTAATGTCAGTTTTCTGCATACACACACACACACACACACACACACAAATGCACAGTACAGCCGTTTAATATTTCACTATCATACCTTGAACCTTCGCAGTGAGTCGACCACAACTGGGGCTAATTCAGCCTCCAACCAGCCTACAACGGCCCCGTCCAGGACCACAGGGTAGCAGTCTGAATAGGCTTGACCAGGGGATCCATCTACTGGAGTAACACCTTAGGCACCAGAGACAGAAAGAGTTTGTAAAATGCAAAACTTTAAAACTTGTGTCAGAAACAGTTTAATTTGTGCCTCACAGCTTAATGGAACATTAGTAAGAACTCACCGAGAGAGCAGAGCAGAGCAGGCAGGGATGTGGTGGGCAAGGTCGGTGCCACGATCTCACAGCTGGCTGTCATGTGGTTCATAAGGCCACAGGGCTCTCCGTCCGGAGTGTGGACAGGACACAGGAAGCCCCAGGACTCTGGCAGAAGCTTACGAACAGAAGTGGTCCTCATCTTGGCGAACGCTGCTCCTCTGTGCACACAGCGGAAGTGGGACAGGTAGCGGATGAAGTTGAGCTTGTCAGCTACGACACACAGGCCTGTGTTCTGCAGCATGCCAAGACCTGGGGTCAGAGGGAAGAACAAGGTTTATTTAATAGATGAACTACTTTTTTTTTTTAATACCATAACAACTTCGCATACTGAGCTGTACATACTATGTGGTCATACCTGTCTTGGAGTTGAGGTTCCCAGTGGCCAGCAGATATTCAAAGGGTTTGGTCACATCAGTGCCCATGTTAAATATCTTCATCATGTTTTCAGGACTCCATCCTCCACTCAGTCTGCTGCCTTTCTTGTCAAAGGACAGCTTCACAGACACCAGCCAGGCAGCCAGTCTCTCCTGTGAAGATATTTTGGGGTTTAAATCACTAACAACTTGTGAATTTATGAGAAACATTTTAGTTGGTGCACCCAAAGTAAATTTGAGACATTTGATCAGAAATGTGTTGTTTCAGCTTTTTCCACCGACATTCAAGTTCTCAGTAAAGAAAGAGAAATGCTTTCTTCAAAAAACTAATTCTAACTGCAAAAACAGACATATAAAATCCCTGATGGGATATGGTAAAACTCACCCATGTCGATGCTCATTTAATGTTTGCTTTAATAGCTGCTATATATTTCTGCCTTTTAAATCTCACTACAGCTCCTTCTGTTCAGCAACAGAGGCAAAAAAATGACAAAGATTGCTCAGCGCTCATTCAAATGATAAACTTAAAAAACTTGCCTTCAGAAACATGAGGTAGAGCTGGCCGGGAGTGAGCACCTCCTGACACATGATGCTGTCGGGGTTCTCCTCCATGCACTCCTGCTTGGCAAACGTGAAAAGCTTCCTTGTCATCAGACACAGCAGGTAGAACTTCTCCACGTCTGACTTCAGGTGGACACAGATGCACTCGCTGATCAAAACAGAACATGTGGTTTTAGTAAATGTACCATAAAATACTACATTTGTGTGTCGTTTCTGCAAGGTTGTCCATTTAAAAAAAGAAAAGCCACCTCCACCTGCCATAAAAACTTACTCCAGCAGGAAGTTGGCACACTGCTCGTTGGTGTACCACTCAGGGAGGTTCATTTTAACCCTGAAGCGCTCGCCGAGGTAATTGAGCACCTTGCTGCGGGTGGTGCAGCCCTCCTCCGTGACGATGCGCAGCATCTCGGATACACAGCTCTTGTAGAAGGAATTGTCCTCGCGGCCTTTGATCAGTTCCTGGTAGATCTGGAAGTCTGTGAAGTCCACCAAGGCCTGGAGGACACAGCAAAGAAAATGATCTGTATTGATAAAATGATACAGCACCAGAGGAGTTTCTACCATATATTTCGTGAGGCTGTTGTGCAAGCAAAGCAACTATATGTTCTTCTGAGTCCCAAAATTTTCTCTATTATTTTCTTGGTGATATGTTTTATAATTTCCAAAATATTCAATGTAACACAAATATTCTGTTCCTGAAAACAGGAAGTGGGGCGTTTTTATAACTGCTGTAGCTCCCACTTTTTTACACCAGAAACAAAGATTTTGTATCACTGAACGATAACACTTTAACGATAGGAGTTATGGTCTTTTAGCGGTGAGCCCAAGGTCGAGAGGTGTCTCTCAGCTGAATCATTGTCTCACTCAGTACAAACAAAGCACTTAAAATCACCATGGCGACCTCTGAGTGCAGCTGGGGACAAACAGCTGATTCAGATCAGTTGATTAGACACCTTCTCTGATGTCCACAGTGTTTATCAAACACTTGACTTACATTTCTGTTAAAGTCCAGCTACAGACTGTTCCCACCACATGTTCCCACCACATACAACAACACAGATGGATTTACACACGTTTTAACAGTTTTCACTGGAAATACGTTTTAGTCCGAAATTTCAGTTGGTGCTTCTACACATACAAATTGCTATTTCTCTGTAATTGAGATTCAATTTCAAAAGATTTTTACAGTGTCAACCAAAATAAAAGATGGTGACTGTGAGGATATATAATATGTCAATTAAAAAAAATCTATCATTCTTTACTAGCAATGCAGTTCAGTGTCAGCTTTTCCAGAAACCAACAATATCGCCCCAATTTCTCCAGAAATAGCATAGTCTGGTTTATTAAATTTTAATAAAATACTCTGTGATTTCTTTCTTAATTCAAAACTGTGTGCTGCAGACATATTTACTCCTAAAATACATGAAGGCTGATTTCTACCTTGAGAGCAAAGCCTAGTGGGAGGAAGAAGAGCTCTTTCTGGTAGATGAAGTTCAGCATCACAGTCCCATTTTCCAGGTAATGCAGGTTCATGTTGATGGCTGTGTGCTCCTCCTTTACACAATGCATAGAAATACCTGTGAGAAGAAAAAGATGATGACATCCATTTTAAAAGATATGCAGCTTTAATTGTTGAGTCTAGACTATTATTACACTGCCACTTCCACTGTATTTCTGCTCGTTATCTCAAATGATCATATTTACCATACTGAGTGTATCCCTGGCCCCTGCTCTTCCACTTCGGTCTTGCCATGGCAATGGGATAGTTCCTTCTCGGCATGATCAGCATTCGGATAACCTTCTCAATTCCATTCACAATAAAATAACCTCCCATTTCCTGTTAATATTGAAGAAGAAATTGTTAAATATTGAAGAAATATGGATGCATATAATGCATTTCTGTGCATCTTACAAATATTACAATCATGTGTCTTACCTCTGCTTCCTCATGGTGTTCGACAAGCTCCTTAGGAGACATACCATGCAGGTTACACAGCTTGGACTTGACCATGATTGGCACCTGGCCCAGGGACTGTTTGATGATGCCTTTGGGAACTCCATTGATCGACCAGCTGATGTCTGCCTGAGATGATGCAAAAAGTACCAAATTAAAGAACTGTAAATCTATTATTCACTCTCACACATGTTGTTTAGATCCATAACTGGCCAGTCCTGTAGTTTACCACTTGTCTGGCTGGTTGTGGCTGCCAATTTACATGTGCTACAGTAAAAGTCAGGTGATTGGTGAAATAAAAATTAGAAGAAAAATGTCATGTCATGAGGGTAAATGAATCTCAGTCATACCACCAGCTTTCCTTTATATGAGCATCTTCTGCCCCTGCACTCTGCAGGAAACACCCTCATTTCCTTGCAGATGTTCCCTTTGGCGACCACTGGGTTGTAGACTGTGGCTTCCACGAAGGAAAGGCTGATCTTGTCATTTTTTATTGTGAACTCAAGGGGAGGGATGGCCTGAGAAAGACATGTCACGTCTCAAAACAGCGAGAAACCTCGAGAACAGAAACAGTTTACAGAAGAAACACTAACAGAAATTCAGCTTAAGCAACAAACTGAGTGAGCACAAAAAATTACACCGAGGTCACATTGAAAAATAGACAAGGGCGCAGAGTAGGGGAACAGGCTACTTGGTGTTAGGACGCAGTGAAGTTAGTACCCTGCAAACCCAACCAGGGTTACAGTACAGCCTTTTATTTTTAAAATTTACTGAGGTTAAAGAGTCTTGCTCATTATATATTAGCTATGTACCATGTGTCCAAATGGTTATTAAGTGTTAGCTTTTCAAATAAATGGCAAAAATACTTAATAATAATAATTGGAGAAACACTGAAAACAAACGTTAGCAAACTCAGATAAAAACCATTTGCTCATTCGTACGTTTGGCTTCAAAGACTGACGTTATATTTAATTTAGCTAGGTGTGAGTTCAGTTAACGTTAACAGCTTCTAAAGACGAGACTTTCCAGCTTTCTGAAATGGCAAACTGATACACAGTTTCTTGTATTTCTCAAAAATACAGCGTAAATAATTTAAATAACTTTGTTTAAAAGTTTAACAGACCTGTACAACGCGGCTGAGTCCGTCAGTGACGGCCTGGTCAAAAGACTCGATGTGGGCTTTAGTCAAATCCTGAACAGCCGCATGTTGAGCCTCTTTCAGGACCCCAAACCCTCCCTGTGTCAGATTCTTTAGACTCGGGGCTTTTGGTAAATTACTCCACTTTGTTGAATAGTCCATGCTTGCACTGCCAGGGATACATATGCTTGTTTACCACATGTGCATGGAGACACAGGAAGTACATCCAGTCGTCGTCTTCTTCGTCGCTCTGGGGTTTTTGTGGCCGGTCGCATCTTGGTTGTTGGGTTGCTGCCATCTTGTGGTGGTAGTTATTGAATTCAATGTTCAGTTCTCCATTTATATTCTGCATTTTAAAATGATTGATATTGTTCCAGGTGGATGCAAATTCAAAATGTGCCAAAGGTGATTTCCTTCATCAGCTGACTGATACTGACCTGCAGCTGTAGCTTGGATGAGACTGTGGATGCATCTATGCTTGTCACCTGCACCTGAAGACTGGAGCTGCAGTGAGCATCTGAAGTCTGGGGCTGGTTGGTAGAGGCTGAAGGCCGTGGCTGAGACTGCAGCTGGCTGCCAGAAGCTGCAGGGTGAGGGCTGGGGAACTGGGAAAGGCTGCAGCTGTCTGTCTCAGTTTGCAGGTTACAGTTGCAGGTTGTTGGTAGAGCAACATTCACAAAGGGCTAGAGGTGGGGGTGGATCGGTTGACGCCCAGCAGCTGACCTCAAGAGGTTAAACCATGACTGCATGGACTTTATACAGATCTTACTCTGAAAAAGATCTATGTGTAAATGGTTTATCTGAGAGAAACGGAGCAAAGTCGACATTCTGATCACACCTTTCCTCGTATTAATGACATTCCAGTTAGTCAAGGAATTTCTCTTTCCCTTGGACAATTTCACCCTGGATTCAGAGCTGTATTTCCTCAGGTGGCAGTCCTCCACCTTCTGAGGGCGCAGATGGCAAATCATGTCAAAGACTGACATGAACTGAAGTGATTTACAACAGGCACAAAATAAATTTGAATGTTTTGTTTCCTTTAACATGTCATGCCAAAGGTATTTAAACGAAATGGTGATGCAACATTGTGTACAAGTTAATATTTTGGCCTTGAACAGTTCATGAAGATTTACCTTTTGCAGACCTGGTTTAACTGAGGTTTAAGGTCTATGGTCTATTAAGTATATGGACAGTTTTCTACAGATCACATCATTTTTATTAATTTGTGAAATGTAAAACTTTCACCATGTATGTTCTTGTGAAGGAAGCTCTATTTAAACATATATAATTGTTTAAATGACTTTAATTACAATTAAAGGTGTCACAGTCACATACACTTGTTTTTGGGTCTTACCAAGCGTCAGATGAGAAGATGGATAATCACTTTCATCTGTGTCCAATACAGTCTGAGATACAGTTACCATGTAGATCATAAATATGCACATGACAGAAGCTTGATATTTGTAGTATTTTTTTTATTCTAGCAATATTGTTTCTGATAAAGACAAATGTTCATGCAAGATTTTGGATAAAACATCACCTAACAAAAGCACAGCACAGACATCCCTCTGAACATGACACTTGCTTTTAGATCCCGTTGGCCAGTTGATGAGATAATGTCCAGATTATTTTAACTACAAAACATTTTACAGCAGGAATCTGATCTTTGGTACAGATGAGGAAAATTATGAAATATGAGAAAAACATGAGAAAATGAATCAGATGTGCAAAGAAACTCTGAATAAGAAGAGAAGACATCATTGAATTCAAGAGGTCTAATAATGGATGAAGCAAATTCACTTCAGTACAAACAAACAAATGAAGGTGCATTGAAATGCTGGAGGTCCATTGCTTTTTTTTTTTGCTTTTTTTTATCAATATGCAATTCCCTCTAAGGCACCCGTCCCTTTGATGTAAAGACATTTCCCAAGAAATTGAATTAAAAAAATAGTGATAGTTTGCCTTTGAAATTTCCAAATCAGCTATCAAAACACTTGTAACCCATTTACCAACACAATCGTGACCCAAATATCCATTTTCTACTTTTCTACATTATCTTTCCAAAGTGTCAAACATAATTTCAGCTACAGCAGGACTCTGTATGTTCTTAGTTACTGGGATTAATCTTACAACAACCCAGTTTCTTTTTGTCATTGTAACCTGCCCCTGTAACCATCTCATGTTTCTGACCTTCAGCCACTCACATGTCCTTCATTCTTCAGAGTCATCTTGTAAACACAAATACACAGTGATTAAAAAACATAAATAAATGCTCTTATGGTGTCCCTTAATGTATCTCAAAGCATGGGGAGCAAAGCCTCACACATTTGAGCTGAGGTTAAAAAAGAGAGGAACAGCAGGGATTCAAACATGATGAGAGACTAATGACTGTTTAAAATGAGCCCCTGGATACACGACAGTGGAAGTTCATCTATTCAGCGTGCTAACTGACAGTTTCATATCTAAGGAATAACTAAACACTCGTTTCTAAATAATAAAAAAAAAAAACAGTGACATAAAATATATCTGACACAAGTCATCTTGGACAGTTACACCTCAGGTCTCAGCTATTCACAAAGAGATGCAGTGAAAATAAAAGTGAGGAACTAAACTATTTTAATGACCCCATGAAACAAAAGCGAATGGGACAGTAAATGAAGAAGAAGCAGTGACCTGATGAAGACCTTTGTCTGTATCACATGTGACACAGTATGTTTACAAGACCAGAGTAAGAAGCATGAAGTGGGGTCGTATTTTTCTGGTCTCCATCAGCTCTTCTTATAAACAAATGTATATTGGGACAAATCAGTTTTATTTCATGGGGTCTTAATTTTAACAATCAATAACACACTTTGTTATTTCAATAATCAATAACACACTTTGTACAAGCTACTCTACTTTCATTTCAACAGTTCAAAAATCGTAGTCCACACACTTATTGACAACACTTTACAATTAGAGTCCATCTTTTCAGAGATCAGAAATCGAACACAGAACATTAGGGCAGCTCTTCACAAACTATGGCAAAAAGGTGCTTGTTTATGAGGATGCATACTACTACATGCTGTCACACAAACATGCTCTCTTCAAATGACAAATAAAATGTCAGATGAACTAAATTTTGCGATGAATTTGCTGAGAACAAAATAATGTCAGATAATACTTCACTGATCCCACTACGGGAGTCATTTTGTTATTTCCTCTCTGCCATAGAGGTCAGAGGTCAGGGACACTTGGGCAGAGCTTGTTGGGACGGATGTAAACTTGGGTTTTTGAGCGAAACAATGGCGTCCCTGCTCACCCTGCTGCCCTCAGTGTAAATAATTTGTAGTGTCCACATGGTCGGGTTAGAGGAATGTTGTTGTTATTCAAGGCAAACCTTGACATCTTGACTGTTTAGCTCATCAGACAGTTAGTATATTAGCTAATAGAATATAAGAAGGGAGTCATAAGTTAAATCATATCGGCCCTTTAACTTGTTGATCACTGTTAGCATTGCTCATTCCAATGCATGGGTACTGATGGCTGCAGGTAAGCTATAAAAAAGGGATAAAAAAAAAAAATAAGAAAAATGTCTGATGAGAAAACAAATTCACTAAGATCTCCAATATCAAGGAATCTGTTTAATGCTAACTCTCGTAGACGGATTATGACCGCATTGAGCAACAGTGCAAAGGCTTATAGAACAAGTACAAGTCACGGTAACAGAGCAAGCTAACTGGCAGTCCTTTTAAGGGAGCGTGGCTGGAAATGTAAGGCACTACAGTCTCACTTGGAGCATCTCTGCATCCTTCAGACCTCTGTTAATCTGCTTAGGGAGAACACTGGTGGTGGTGGAACTGAGATAGAAGGGCGTCTGTCCTCATTCAGAAACTCCCACAAAGTTTGTTGACCAGATCAGCATCCTCACATTTACAATACGCATAATGAGGAGAGCAGAGATCATTCCTACCGTCCGGTTGGTTTCCATAAAAAGAAAGACTCCTTCCAGGCGTCACAGGCAAGGTTCGGTTAAAGGCTCGGCTTGCTGGAGTGTGCTACTTCTCAGGTGCAGTTTAGGAGTGAAGACAGAGCATGAGGAAGCTTCTAGTGGGGATGAGATGAGGGGAATATTTGTGCGCGATCTTACAGTCGAGTAAAAGGGCCAACGTGAAGAGGGGCCCTCAGTTTGGGAGAGGAGCAGGAGTTGGTGTTGAAGGTGGAGGACGGGGAAGAGGAATAAGGAGAGGAGGAAGCAGATGAGGGGTCAACACTGTTGTTTAGGGTGAAGACACTGGAAATGGCCACATCCACAATGCCTTGACATAGCTCTGGATATAGTTTCCTGGAGAAGGAAAGAATAACAGAAGTGTGACACTGACTTAATGAGTTTAATTTAAGTCAATTGAAAGCACTCAGCTGTGACTGATTCAAAATCTAGCATAAAATATTCATTTGCATAGAACCCAAAAAAGTCCTGGAGGACTCGACGTTAACAGAAGATTGAGTACAACACAGGTAAAACTGACCGAGATGCCGAGAAAGAAACATTTTTAACATGGATGATGAGCTGAATGTTACTGACTGTGCACAGGCTGGAGCTCCATTGATCTCAATGAGCCACACTTTGAAGCTCTCGTCCACCATGAAATCAAATCCAAAGAGCTGGAAGCTCTGGTAGGACAGGTGCTTGGTGCTGATTGCCGGCTCAATACAAGTCAGACAGCTCCTGTGAAACCACACAGCAAAATCATTTCCAACCATCTGACACCTGATCACCTTCATGCCGTACACAAACACATGATACAGTTCATTACAAACATTTCAGAAATTAAGTAATCGCTGACTTTTACTACTATTTGAAAGGAAATGCACAATAAGGCTTCCCAGCATGCACTGGGGCAAAGTGTTATTGTGCTGTTAATGGTGTTATTGTGATCTGCATTGTGGTCCCATATTTCCATATTGTTGTACAATGAATTAATAAGAGTGACTGATTACACCGCGGGTGATGCTGTGTTAACAATCATCAAGGTCATCCTCTACATCTGATGACACTATGCAACACTGATGATAAATTTTGTTCCATCAATCAATCACATTGATTGAGAAACTGTCTCCTTGATTAAGTTTTTTTTTCCCTATCTCAAAACCTCATCTTGACAGAACATGTGTACTTGCACTTGTGCTAGTATGATGATTTTCACCACCATTAAGTAATGTTGAGAATATTTAAATAGCATCATATCATAGCACATTTGCAACTGTCTTTCATTTCTGCAGTATCAATAATATGTCAAAAATACAGTATTAGCACTGCAGCTAAACTGTGGGAATTAATCTACATACATGTAAGATTATTTGTACAGAGATGGTGAAAGGTTTGGCATTTTAGAAATTAATAAAAATGATCTGGACTGCATTAATATAAACCTTAAATAAAACTTAAATCCCAGTAAAACCATGTCTGCAGCAGGTTTAAGTTACACCTCAGATACAGTTAGGTGGTTTCTACAGGACACAGCAGCCGGGTTCAGTCTAAACTACAGGTGCAGTTTAAACTGCAGCTTGTGAGGACACAGCAATGGAGTTTAAGTGATCATGTGACTTTGACCCAGACACCACAGGCTTAAACCTTAAAATGCAGCTAAGCTAATGACAAAGCAACAGCCCCTAGAGCTTCAGTAGCTGAAATGTTTTAAAACACAGGTCAGCCATGCTAACATGTCCACAATACTAACGCTAGCATGTTGATGTAGCATGAAATGTACAGCTGAGGCTGAAATGTCATCAGTGTTGCAGGTACATGGTTATAAACCAAGAGTAATAGACTAAAAGACATATTGTAAATAATAATCACAGTATGTGTATGCTGTACACTACAGTGTTTCTAACTGGTTGTGAGTTCACATCACTGAGCTGCTGATGCTGTTAGAGCAGAGAGGAAGCTGGTTTAAAAGCTGCAGGTTTCTTTCCTGCTGCAAAGACCTCAGTGTGGGTGTGTGTGTGTGTGTGTGAACACCGGACAAGCATTATACATTCCGTTGTGATGGTTGAGGTTAGGGTAAGGGAATGCTAATGAATGACAGGTCCTCATGAATATAGTAAGGCAAGGTTGTGTGTGTGTGTGTGTGTGTGTGTGTGTGTGTGTGTGTGTGTGTGTGTGAGCATAAGTGGCTCTTATTTTCATTTCTGCATATTAACCATTAGCAATTGATTGACGCAGTTTTAACAAATTGGTATTAAACGTGTCATTCAGGTTGAAACATGCACATACAAAGCAGCACAAACTAGACTGATCTGGATCTGGTTAGTGTTGGGATTCAATGGTATTTTATCGAACATGCTACTTTTTGTGTTACAGATTAATTAACGAAAACACTATGTATCTTATTCTTCTTAGCAAAACAAGAAGGACCTACTTTATGATCTGCTTGATCTGAGGTAATATGGTGGTCTCCAGGGTGACATTGTGAGTGTTCAGCAGGTACAGCCTGAACTCATCAAAGAACATCTCGTTCCCCTCCTCATATCGTCCGTAGTTCTGGGAGTGCTCCTTCTGGATGCAGTGGTTGGTCAGGTGGCTGGTCATGTCCTGGAGGTCAGAGCTGTTGTAGGGCTCCGAGGACGTCCGCAGCACACCCTCCCGGTATAAATAGATGTTATACTGATGGTCCACTAGCACCCAGCTCCTAGCAGTAGCATGACATAAACCGTAAGAGTCTCAGTTACTGAGTCCATACAGACTGGCACAATCTCTGTGGGTTTGTGTTCAACATAAAAGACTTGCCTGATGTCAAACTTCCGATGTCCCGGCTCCAGAAGCAAAGGTTTCTCCAGGTACTTCTGAATGACATGAACCTGACCCTGATTATCAATGTACTCCAGCAGCTGATTAGCATCATGGGATATCAAAATACCAGCACCTGTTGCAATCAAAACAAATGTGTTAAGCTACCACGTCCTCAAATGGTTGAAATTGTTGTGTTTTGCAGCTCAGAAAGTACAAGTTATCATTTTGATTCAAGTAAATCTAAGAAGACACTAAAGGGAAAATGTCTGACCAAAGCTTACTTGTATCTTGGATTTAAGCCAGAAACATGGATAACAGATTTTACCTTTAGCTCCAGCAGAAGACTTGGCGATCCACACTGTACCCTCCCCACTTTCTTTTTTAGAGTGATAAGAGGCCAGGAAAACTTCCCGCTCATCTGTCTTGGGATTGTTTTTCAGATGGCTAATGCCATTTGTAGCCGGAGCTACAGGGGTGTTGAGGTTAGTGGGATAGATGATGTAGGATTCTGGGAACCAGTTACAGGAGTCAGACAGCTCTGGGCTGGTCTTTATTAGCCTGATGGTACAGAAGGAAATGGTCAGCTAATGTAATTCCCTTTTAATAATTTACTATAAGTGCATTACTGACATGGATGATTGGAAGACAAAACATATAGATGTTCCTTTTAACAAGGCAAATACATACTTGACCAAAGATGCCTTTCTGCAAAGCTTGTCAGCTCCTCTGTAGTAATTCACCAGCTGCATCAGTCCTGGTTCATGACCTGTAAAGTACAAGTGAGGTCATTTTAAAATCTATTCAAATACCCATATGTGATCACTTGGGGCCTCTAGATAAAAAAAAAACACACAATCTTTCCACAGGATGTTGGAGCAAGCATCCCTGCACAGTCACAGCAGCTGTTTCATCCTGAGTGGGTGGACTCCAAATATAGCAGACTCATACAGACTTTTCTGTCTGCTGTTAGCATCAAAGGAAATAAGGAAAGTAATATAATTTACCTAAACGTCCAAAGGGCAGTCTGTTCCGTTCACCAAGCATTAAGTTGAATCTGGGATTGTCTCTTTTCAGCCTTTTCCATTTTCCAGTTGAGAGCAGGATTTTGGAAACTTCTGCATAAACAGTGCTGTTGTCGTCACGGGTGACAAAGGTGTACATGGGGGTATTCATAATGCCAATTTGAGTGCGAGGCCTTAAACTATAATAAAAACGACTGAATGTGTAAATAACTTAGCTGTCAGGCTAGTTGTGAGGCTGCCTGGTTGGCACTGCAGAAGAGAGACTGTGCAGGGTTATCTCCTCTGTCCGTGCCATGATGATGAGTCAGTCATATCCAGTCCGCACTTCCCAGTTAACTCTCACTGGTGCTCTGAAACTCTAATTCAGCAGTTTGAGGCTAACACGGATTTGTATAAAAGAGCATAACATATGAAGAATGGCAATTTCATGTTGCTCAACAGACAGGGTTCCTCCGGTGTCCCCAGACAAGGGTGTGACTGACTGCTGCTGCCGGCTCCTGGGGCTGGTCCCGTCTGGATTAATTTACATCCCGTCTCCGGTTTAGCTATAGCTAACGGGACTGGGACCACTGTGGACAGCTATCCAGGAAACTCTTCCGGTATCCCTCCTCAAAGATTAATACCTAAATAAGGAAGAGCGGAGGGCGTTTTCTAACTAGCTAGTTAGCTGCACAATGTCACAAACGCAGCCTATTTTTCCACCAGCGGCGTGTGCTTTATTCTTTGAAGCTTAGCGGCCGCTGTCATCCACTGTCGACAGCACAAACATAAACCTCCCCGGTTATGGTTAGTGTAGTTCACAGCTACACTGATATCACGGGTAGTTTTTTTTTTTTTTGCTTCTTATTCACAATGAAAGTAAACAAAGACAACCTTAGATATATTTCATGTACAAGTATAATTGCTTTAAAATAATTCATGTCGGAATTCAGAGACTTACTGAATTTCAACAACATATAGACTACATTTCCCAGAATGAGACGTACTAGCGCGACCATTTAATCATTGCATTTGTTTGTCGTTTTGTGACCACAAGATGGCATCGTAGACCTTAGCAGTGGGGACCCGAGCGGTGTTGAAACCATAACCCGGAGATAATAAGTTTTAAACTCAAGAAAGAGGTTTTTCCTCTGGGAAACACGCTCACTTAATTTCGCTCACTTAATTTATAATTGATTATTTTCAATAATCAAGGACTTACGTCTAGTATTACGCAGTATAATAACACATTAACTGACATTGATTGGTCTGTGGGCGAACCGGGAGGATAAATGAAGCACTCCCTAGTTGTGACAAGTTATGGGTCCAGTTCCGATATTTTTAAAGAAGTTAGTTGCTTTAGCTGTATTCTTTATTTTTCTCGTCTGTTCATCTTAAGTCGACATGTGTCATTTGAAAAAAGATAAAGTTCGGTCCGTTTTTAGCTTGGTTTCTACATTTGGTGAGAGCGGTGCGGAGAGACTAATTTAGGTTTTCGAAGAACGAATTGGAACGTGACAGGAAGTCGTACTGTTGAGGAAGAAACAGGTGGCGGGAACAGCTAAACCGCGAGTGTAAGTAAGGGAACTGTGTTAACATCAACAAGTAAATAAGTCAACGTGTCTATAGTGTAACACCAACTTTTGGGCATAATATCAACAAAGACAAGAAGATATCACTAATAGTAAGTGACGTCCCTCATCCTCAGTATTGTGGCCTGTTGTGTGGTGCGGAGTATTTTCAGTAAACACTGCAAGTGGGTCCTGTCCATAGGCTGTTTATCACAGTATGTAATGGAGGCTAACTTAAACGTCCCTGTCAGTCGAGCCAATGATAACCTAAAGTTTAAGGACACTGCAGCAGCTTTGCTCGTGAACTTTAATCGCTTTAGCCTCATTCATATAGTTATAGAAGGATTCTTCATACATATTCAGTTTATTAGTCATAGGAAGATAGACAGTCTCTGAAAACATCCATATAAAACCTTCTAGGAATGTAATAAGATATAACTTTTACGTGTGTGTATGGGTCAGAGGTGATGTGTGCCATGGCTTTTACTGAGGTCATGTATTTTTAATAACTCTTGTCCCCTCTCCTTCACCAGGCTGGAGCAGGCCAGGCATGAGTGGCGCACACCTGGACGAATGGCAGAGGAGGTCCTTTGACATTTCATCTGGCAACTGTACACCTGAACAGACGGCCGATGCCTACCGGGCCCACATCCTCTCCATTCAGTATGCATGGGCAAGCTCCCAGCTCTCTCAGGTCGGCATGGCCAGCCTGCTCAGGACCTACTCGGAGCGCTATGCCGCAGTGTTGGACTCGGATGACCCCCGCACAGGGCTCAACAACTATGCAGAGAGTGCACTGCATCTGGCCCGCAATCAGAGGAACCACAGCGACAAATGGGAATCATCCCTGACCACGGAGAGTGTGCTGGAGCTGCCCTGCGTGCAGAAGATGATTCAGGCAGGGACAGGGGGAGGAGGCTCCCTTGTGGCACCAGCAGATGTTAACGTATCTGTGGGACAAGAGAGCAGCCCCCTGCCTGCTCCCTTTACTGGTGTCAGGTCAGAGGCTGCATTGTTGAAACCTATAGGACCACCACAGCCTAAAACAGAGGTTAACAACAGTGCCAGTAATCCTGCTAATATTTCTGCAGCGAGGCCAAGAGGCTCTGAGGGGATCTCAGTAAATCCAAACTCATTCTCCCGACCTCCAGCCCGACCACAGTCTATGTTTAGTTATCCTTCTTCAATTCCTCCACAGGGAAACCCTGGCCCTGCAGGTGGCACACAAAACTACCACTCCTCCTTCCCCACCTCCAATCCATCTAAGCGGAAGAATTTTAACAACCCAGATGGAGGGGATGTTGGCAGGGGGCCACACGGAGGTCAAGCAGCCGCTGACCCACGAGCTGGAAGCAACTTCAAAACTGCTCGTGAGCAATTCATCGTTGACCAACAGAAAAAACATTCCCATCAGCCCCAGAGAGGCCAGACCCCTGGGATGACAGCAACGGTGAAAAAATCTCTGGGTGCTAACAGGTCTCGAGGTGCATTCTCTAAATTTGTGTCACCTATTCCACGACAGGAGGAGGAAGAAGGTGGGGCAAGCTGTAATTCCAACCAGGAGCCTCAGATCCTGGATGAGCGTCTGAAAAACTTTGAGCCAAAGATTATTGAGCTGATCATGAGTGAGATCATGGACCATGGACCTCCTGTGGCTTGGGATGACATAGCAGGTCTGGAGTTTGCCAAGACCACCATAAAGGAGATTGTGGTTTGGCCCATGTTGCGACCTGACATCTTCACTGGCCTCCGTGGTCCACCCAAAGGTATCCTGTTGTTTGGACCTCCAGGAACTGGTAAGACTCTGATAGGAAAATGTATTGCCTGTCAATCAGGCGCCACCTTCTTTAGCATCAGCGCATCATCGCTCACATCCAAGTGGGTGGGCGAAGGAGAAAAAATGGTGCGAGCCCTGTTCGCTATCGCCCGGTGCCACCAGCCTGCTGTCATTTTCATTGATGAGATTGACTCACTGTTGTCCCAGCGGACAGACGGGGAGCACGACTCATCACGTAGGATAAAGACGGAGTTCTTGGTTCAGCTGGATGGGGCAGCCACCGCAGCTGAGGACCGCATCCTGGTGGTGGGCGCCACCAACCGGCCTCAGGAGATCGACGAGGCTGCCCGTCGACGCCTGGCAAAGAGGTTATACATCCCCCTGCCTGAAGCAGCCGCCCGACAGCAGATCGTGACTAATCTCATGACTCGAGAGAAGAACCAGCTGAGAGAGCAAGAGCTGGAGAGCGTGGTGGCAGCTACAGAGGGCTTCTCCGGCGCCGATATGACTCAGCTGTGTCGAGAAGCGGCACTGGGGCCCATCCGCAGCATCCAGCTCAGTGACATCGCCACCATCACTGCAGATCAGGTGCGACCAATCCTCTACTGTGACTTCCAGGAGGCCCTGAAGACGGTGAGGCCCAGTGTCTCATCAAAAGATTTGGAGCTGTATGAAGAGTGGAACAGCACTTTTGGATGTGGCCGTTAAACTGTGGCTCCTCATCCTGATTCTCCTCTACCTCTGTTACAGTTATGGATGTTATTGTGAAGTGAGTTGGGAAAAAGTTATAAAGCTGTTGAATATTTTGTGCTGTGCACATAAAGCACATATAGAGCACCGCACACTATGGTTTCACAAAGATAGTTTTCTAAATCAGTGATTTGTATTAGATTGCATTAAACTGAGCAATTGTTGCTGTTATTTTTTCCACCTGTAGACTTTATCTCTTTACAGCCAGTCTGATTTTCTTTTTTTGGGATCCATGAACATTTACTCATTGCATTCCGGCTGTTTATAACTTGAATGAAAAACAGACAGAACAAATGAACAGGAAAACAATATGTAAGCATCATTCTTGAAAATGTCTGAAGTGCAGACGTTATCTTTATTCACAGGAATCTTTGTGGTGAGAAAATAAAAGATTGTTCCCGGCAATTTTACATGATGCATTCAAATTACTTTCAGAGGTTTGCAGCAGCTAGACTGTTTTGTTTAGATATTTATGCTATTGTTTCTTTACGCTTTTCTGTAAACATAAGCCCCCTGTTGTGTGCTCCGGATGAAACATTGATCTGTTTAAATTCCTATATAGCAATTAGCATCCTCTTTGTAATACTTTTAGGTTGAACATTCAGTATAAGTAGTCATCTATATCACTAATGTCAAGACTTTGTCATTGTTGTAGTTTGTTTTAATTAATAACATTAAAAAAAAAAAAAAAAATTCCTAAATAAATTAAAGTTTTGCAAAGTGCCTTCAGTCTCCATGAGTTTGTGAATGTCTAAGAGTTGAAACAAAGCAGTAATGGGTTTATCTCCAGTGGATTTCCTCACTTCATCCTCCTTCCCCTCTAATCCATAGAGGGTGGTGTGATCACTGTTAAGAGCTATATTTGGACATTGCTATAACGTTTAGCTGTAGGTCTCACTGTGCTGAAATGTTCCTGATGCTCAGTGTGCTAATCGTGTCCCTGGAAGTTGGGCAACACACAGAGTATCCTGGGTCTCGTGTTTAAAGAAACCTGAAAACTTTTGCTCTCTTCCTGTTAGTGATTAAGACAGCAGTGGACTCAACAGGAAAATCTGTTACTGCAACACATCCCTTTTATTAGACAACAACTGTGCGCTCCATGATTTAAGTAATGCCTCTGATCCACAGGGTTTGTGGTTGGTGCAGAAGCACACATGTCAAACTCTCTGTCCAGTTATTATCTGAGTCATCACTGTAAAGAAATATGACAGACACTTGTCTCCTCCACAGCAGTAACTTGTGTTATTGCCCAGTGGTAGTTCTGGTCAACAATGTTGATGTTTTTCTAGTTGCATGCCACACTGGTCACACATACACTATTACTGAGGAGGACCATTATAGATTGTGCACACATGAAATGAAATTCTCATGTAAATTTCATGAAACAATCTTTGAAAATCTGGAAGACCATGAAAAAAGACTTTCATTTATTTTTCATCTTTTTGTCAAGTCCCTAATAAATATTTCACATGTGTGTGGTTGGCCACTGTATTGAAACTTTGTTGAATTAGCCAGCAGTGAAAGTAGTCAAACCCCCCCCCCCCCCCGGGCGTCTCCGAACACGGGGACTCCTCACAGCTGGACCAGGACAGATGCACAATATTCCTCTGGTGCTGGCAGGATCCATAGAGTCCATAGAGTACGGACTGAGAACTGTGCCATATGGTGTAAGCTTGTAGCTCCATTTGACTGTGGCTGTGCAGCAGTGGTTACATCTGGGGTTGTGTGGTCACAGACGTACACATTACACAGTTCATTCATTGTAAAAAGAAAAAAGAAAAGAAATTTAGTACCTATATTCTTGTTAATCAAATTTAAAACACAGACATTTGACATTGTGGTAGAGAAGTGTCATGAAACCTGGATGTTGGTGGTTTATTAGAACTGCTTTATGATGCCTGCTTTAAATACTGTGTGTTGTTGCCAGAGATCAGGTGTAGACAGTGGTGGAAGAAAAACTCAGAATCTTTCCAAAATAAAACATGTAAAAAACCCCCCCAAAAAAACACTCAATCACAAATAAAAGTCCTGTAGTCAAAATGTTTACCTGAGTGAAACTATAGAGGTATAATCAATAAAATGGATGTAATGTTACAACCTTTAATATTTTCATGAAATCAAACCCTGATTTTGTTATTAATCAATAGTCATTGAATGCATTTAACTGTAATTACTTCTTTCCATTGTTGGTGTCATTTCTTCATTAGAGTCAGAAATCCTTCACACACATGAAGGAAACTGCAGCATGTGATCCATTGTTACTACATGTGCTGTGTGTAACACGTGGTCAGATTCTATTAGCAGTTATTACTGACTGACTTACATGAGTTAGTTTGACTGCACTGTGGATAGATAAACCAGCTGCTGTTTAAAACTGCCCTTACTGTCACCAAACAACCATGACCGAAATCCTAAAGATTAAAACTTTAAAGGATCAAAAATAAACACACTCTTTTCGCTGGAAAAATGGTCCCTGTGAGTGTTATACTATTATATATTACATTATGAGGTTGTTGATGCATCAGTGTGGAAGTAGGATGTCACTACTAGTTTAAACTACCATTGCATATATACAGATATCTGTATTATGATTGGGTCACAAGGTAAATATGAGGAGCTATGTGATCATTTATGGAGGAGGAAAGAAGAAAAAACAAATTTAAATTAATTTCTTTTCTTTATTGTAAAATATTTAACCTCTTTGGACCTTTACCAGTTATTTAAATTGCACCAACTGAGAAGTTTAGAGGGGAAATGACTCTTTAGTGGAACTACTGACAACTCATAGACACCTGAACACAAGGTTTGTATTGAATATAGTGTTATCCATCAATGGGACACAGTCATGTGAAGGGACGGAAAAGAAAAACCCTGAGTAGTAACATCTTGTTGGATCCTGTTGACAGAACAATTGGATTTGGTTAATTGTGATTCTTAAAGGACTGTTTCAGTCAGCTGGCTGAAAGGAGAAGTGAGATCTTGGATCCTGGCAGGGCCTGAGTTGGTTGGCCAGATTATCCCTCTCATGCAAATGCCCTCCCTCCCCTGTTGGGTCCCAGTCAAGCGTGGGGGACTCGTCGCTGGCCACAGCTGCTTCCCGTTTCTGCTAAATCACACAGCAGCCATCTGGACGAGGCTGTCGCCGCATAACGCCGTTGAGGTCCTATGGCGGCCCTGACTGGGCCTCTCCAGACGGACCTGGCCTTCTGCTCCAGTGGCTGATCGTCTCTGTCCCAGCTCGCTGCCGCTGCCGCTCCTCTGAGGACCAGTCGGACTCTTCAGGTCCTGGACGCGTGCACATGTCGGCAGGCTGTTGTGTGTGTCTAGTCTCTTGATGTCACAGTTTTAACATGAGGGTCTCTGTGCAGAACTGCCACTGCGGTGTTAGCCTTGTATTATCTGACAGTTTGGCATCCTCAGTAAATTATATAAATATTTCAAATTGGAAATTATGGACTTTATGGGTTAAAACTATAAAAACACTGAAGAAATTAATATATTTGCTTTGGAAAATAACCCAATAACCTCCATATACACGGAGAGGTGTTTATTTATTCCCCCTCTTTAAATGTTTTTTCAGTGTGTTTAGTGTTTTTGTATTTTTCACACAAATGCCAGTCATTCACTCTGTTTTGGCTCTTCCTTGACAGGCAGGACTGAGCCGCGTCTTGAATGACATCCAACATTAATTATTTCACAAGGTTTGAGAGAGTGAAATGAAATCTCCATATTTCTTAAAAAGGCAAAATGATACAGTAAAACTCAGAGAAACTTTCCATTAACTCTACTTGTCAAATATTATGATCCAGTTAAGAAAAACTATCCTATTAAAAGCACGCATCTGCCATGAAACATCTGCATGTCCATGAAACATTTGCATGTATATACAGTATAATGATGGCGGACCCATGTGCAGTTCTGCTAGGAATAGTCCTCTGTTAATTAAAGCATCTTATTTCTACACTCATCAGCTATAGAAAAAAAACATTCACACACTCTTTGTGCATATATAAAATATCCTTTATTGATATTTTGCAAGCATAAAGCTCCCTTCAAATGGCTCACCTTCATGTTGTGAGTGAAACAATTCTCAGCCATCAGGTATAAAACAAAAAGGCCAGGATCAGCAGCAGTCATGTTTTCACCTCAAATACATTAAGTACAGTCGAACAGAAAAAAATGCAACTTTTTTTTTAAAAACTAACCTACAGACAAACAACGATCATTATAATAAATACAAAGAAACAGACAGGAGTGTAAATGTGATATAAATAATATGTAGGTTGATACAAATACAAGAATAGGTTTGAACTTTGGGAGGGAAATGTGAGGTTATCTACACTGATTGTTAAGTTTTTATTGGTTGCCGACAATAAAGTAGGTTTTTTCCTGCACTAAAAACAGCTGCAGAATCTTTTACTGATGTTTCAGACACTTCACTACAGAGATGTTTAAGTGAATGGGTGAAAATCTTTTCTATTCCAAAACTAGGAAAAAAAAAAAGTTGCTGCCTCGTTTTCCAAAAGAAAAGTCACATTTATACATTTTATACACGTGGCGACTGTAAATACATGAAGTGGCACAGAGCCTCAGCTGTGTCGTCTTCAATCCACAATATTTTGTTTATTTAAAAAAGACAAATGAGTAACTGGTCTTTCTTTTGAGCATGGCATTTGAAATGAATAGAATTGTATTGTGTAATAATCAACAAACATGCATACTTTGTATAAAAAACACAACTTTCAGACATCAACAGTGTATTTTACATTTTGTTTTTTATGCACTTGTTTCAGGTGTATGTCTGTGAGTGAATGTGTGGGGGTTTTCCTTTCCATATGTACACCTGTTTATCTTTGCGAAAGTGTGTGTGCATGTGTGTGCTCCCTGGTGGGCGGGGCTCAGTAGCGATGCTCCCCTCGTGTTATGTGAGAGGAGAACTCGTATCGGTCTTGACTCCGGTGACCGCAGAGGTTGCACTCGAAGGGGTCTCTGAAGCCGTGGCAGCCCATGTGAATGGTGTACATGACGTGGTCCAGGAAGAGAACGCGGCAGTGTTCGCACCGGTACGCCCTCACCTGCTCCCCGTCCGCCGTCACCACCTTGAAGCCCTCGGAGGCCATCTCCATGCTGACCCGGATGGCCTCGTACTGCCTCTGCTGCTCCTCCTTCACTAGAGGGAGGACGCCGTTCCTCACCCCGGGGGTGATGTGGTTGGTCAGGTAGATGAGGCTGGGGGCCGGCCCGCCTGAACGGTCCTCGTTGTTGCTCTCGGTGTCGGTGGAGTCTTGGCCGCTGTGGCTGGGCGAGCCGTCCTTCTCGCTGGAGGCAGACTTGGAGTTGGAGAGCAGCAGCAGGTTCTCAGCCGCACTGTCTTTGGCCGACAGGCCGTGGCCCGTCCCCACATGGCCGTCATTCGCCGGCTTATGGTGAGGGTACATGGATCCAAGGCCCACATCAGTAGAGGAGGCCGGGGAGGTCTGGACCAGGGGCCTGAGCGACTCGGCCCCCAGGTAGCTGATGGCACTGTTGATGGCCTGGTCGATGACGTGGGGCTGAATCAGCTCGCCTGCTCCTCCATCGTAGGAGAGGTCTGACAGACGTTTGTCACCTGAGAGACAGAGGAGACGTGAAGGTTCTACTTTACTGACACACTGTGATTTCACTATCTTTACACTGAGCCTGCTCCTCTCTAGCTGAGGTTGACTCACTGTCAATGTTTCTTCTGTTTCTGGTCTTATACTAACATTTCCTTCAGCCTCTTAATATTTTATCTTTCCCTCACATGTTGTGAAGTTAAATTTTAGTGTAAAATTAATATCCAGGATTAAACACTCAGGAAACATCAACACAAAATCTTTTCTAACAGCAGTTAAACAATTTAAAGGCAAAATTCCTGATCAGGCTGAACTGCAAAAACAGACTTGTTATCTGGCAAATACTGCATGCATTCTGCAGAGCCAAGGCAGCAAAGAAAAATGCTCAAATAATTAACACAAGACACACAGCAGCTTCACCTATGCAGCTTTCATAGGTGCAGCAGTTACACTTGTTTTTTTTTCAGCAAAAAGTAGCAACATTGCATTTATCACAAAGGAAGCAGATTTCAGCCCTTACCCACAAACTTCTGTGGCATAGTGCTCTTACGTTTAGCTACATTATTAGCTAGTCTGTCTAGCACCAAGGCTCTGTCAGATCCCGTCTGGCTTAAGTCTTCCCTCTGCTCATTCTGGTTGCTTTCTTCCTTTACTACTGGAAAGCAAGACAGAGAAGTAGATTTCAGAGTCAAAGTAGTTTGAGTTTGTCGGGTTTAAAGCGATGAACTGCTGCATGATATCACATGCCTGATGGTGTTTTCCTCACAGAGCACAGAGCGGTTTATTCTGACACATGTGAAGCGCTTGGTCTGTAAATATAGGATCTGTCCATGCTCACAGATCAAGTGTAGATGTGTTTCTAGGCTTTTACATGTTAAATATCTCAAGTATTCTATAGTGTGTTCATTTAATTCATGACTGCAGAGTATGTATGGGAGCCTGTACTCGAATGGGAATGACATGAATTTAATATGACTTGTTTGAGTGTTTAGTAACTGCAGCATTGTCGGCATGGTGCGCTGCTGTCGCGTGCATACAGAGTCCTGCGCACAGGGTAAAGTAGGTCATCAGATTTGGGTGAAGGCGCAGTGAGCGTCTCACGAGGCACCAACCTGTGTAGATGCTGTTCTGCAACCCCATGCACTGGAGGTAGTTGTGGCACCTCTCCTTGTGCTCCTCGAGAGAGCTGCGCTGCTTATAGCTCCGCCCACAGTAAGCACACTTGTGGGGTTTTCCAACTGCAAAAAAAACAATAAAAAAAACAAACAAAAAACAACAAACAAAAAACAAAAAACAAAACAACACTTTATCAGCAAACAGAGCAGTGGAATATTCTCTTGGTTTAGTTACACTTTTTTTTTTTTTTTTTTTTTAACATTTCCAGTTTGATTTGTATAAATAGAAGAGAAACTGGGTGTTTAGCATGAACAGGAGTCAGAGCTCCACCTACAGGAAACCCACGGAGAAGACCCGACAGTCCCGCCCACTCTGCCCACAGATGATCTCTGGAAAGTCCAGTGGAAAAACTTCACAAGCAGATATTTTAATTTCTTGGGATGACATGAACAGGGTCATGTCTTATGTATTTCTTGGGGGAATTCAGGAAGCAACTTGAGGGGATTTTTACATTGTCTAAATAAGAACATGCATAAGGTGGGTATTTTATAAGCTGATTCCTCAATAGACTCAATTCAAATTTTACTTTTATTTTTACACCAACAAAATAACTGATCATGATACTTTAATAAGGGATTGAGTATTTCCACAAAAATATAGTCCTGGACTAAATTTAGATCCACAGTTTGTGGAATAAAATTTAGGGTTGGGGGGGATTGGGGGACTTCTAAAACTCTGGCTACAGCCCTGGGTGTGAGCTGCTACTGCTACTGCAGCTTTTTTCTCTGAGCCATAGAGCTGTTACTGTCCAACTGGTGTCATAAATTCTCACCAGCATGTATTCATCCTCAGCTGAAAATAGTTCCACACAAATACACTATTTACTCCTATTTCAGTAAAATTTGTTTAAAAAAAAAACTACATTTCTCAGCTGTTTTAGGAAATGAAAAAAACAAACAAAACTCTACTGTTTGCGACCTGTTTTTAAAGATTTACATGGAAACAATGAGCTCAGTGTTGAGTGCCAAAGTAGGGAAGTCAAATGTATAGACAGACAGACTATTGTTTTTAGGTCTTTTCATTGGATTTCTTAACAATAACAAAAATAGTTTCATTCTATAATAGAAATAATATTAATATAATGATAATTTTATTTTATTTTATTTTATTTTATTTTCATATATACTTGAAGCATAGGCTGCCACAGTTTGAATGCAATGCTCTACCTTACATGCAGCCTTTGCTTTTCATTTAATTCAGTTCAGTAACCTGAGCATGCCAACTTGTGGAGACTTTAAAAAGTGCTTGAGACAAATAATTCAATAAACTGATCATGCTACTTTTATTTTTGTGAGCATTGTGCATAATAATCTCCACATCTATATCTAAATTTCAGCAGCTTAACCTTTTACTTTTCAGTTCAGCTATTCAGAGCAGGTTTGTAAGTGTACTGTTTACACCCAAAACATTTCATTAACACATACTTCTGCAAAGCATTTGCAAAAAAAAAAAAGTGACACCATATCTACACCCTGTCAACTTCCCCTTATATCGCCCTTGGCTGTCGCTGTATGCACTGCAGAACATGTCATGCCTTTTGTAAAGGCTTCCACCCAGTGTCCCTTGAATTACCATGAGTGCAGAAGTTTGCAGTGTGTGTGTGTGTGTGTGCGTGTGTGTGTGTGTGTGTGTGTGTGTGTGTGTGACCTTTGCGTACTCACCCGAGTGGGTGCGTAAATGGCCGGTGAGGGCGTCCCTCCTGCGGCAGGCGTAGCTGCACAGGTGACACTTGAAGGGTTTCTCCCCCGAATGCAGCTTGATGTGGCGCAGCAGGTTACCCTTCTGGGTGAAAGAGGCACCGCACTGGCTGCACTGGAAAGGGCGTTCTCCTGTGGGACAAGAACACAACAGACGCACACTCTACTGTAAAGATGCAGATAACACACAGAAAAAGAACAGAAAGAAATGAGAACTTGTCTGTTTTAACTGGCACCCTAGTTTCTTTTTAATGTTTTTTTTTTATGTATCAGGCAATTCATGATTCACGATCGCACTGCTCTCCCTAATCTCACCATGTTTGATCCCTGCGATGACAACAATAAAAGCACAAAAAAGTCTTTGTCTTCTCTACGTGGAGAAAAAGCTGCGGCTGTGGGAATGCGGGGTCACTGCATTACAAGCATCCCGAGCGCCAGAACAAGCTGGATGATGGAGCGTCTCCGGGGCAGAGAGCGATCCAGCAGCCTGTGGGAGGGTTTCACAGCAGAGTGACACTCCATCTCTCCATGCTCCCCCTGCCCCACCGACTTCTGGCACTCTGATCGAACAAGAGCCTTTCAGACTCAGCCTGCCAGTTCCGTAATGCACCATTGCCTAGGTCAATTTGATCTGAAAATCTCATTTTTTACTCTTCTTCGTCTCTAAAATAAGAGCGGCACATCACAATGCAAATTCAGCCTCATTTGAATAAAGCGAAGGAAACACTTTGTGTTGAGAGCCAGTCTTCCTGATCAGCGCCTCTGGAATAAACCAATATCCAGCCTCTCTCCGAGTGTTGTGGCATTCTGTGAGAACGTTTTAATATGGCTTTTTTTTTCTTTTTTTTTTCAAAGGCCCCCCATAAAATAAGAGTCACCAGTGAAGCAGCAAAAATATATAAAAAAGGAAATTCATTAAAAATGCATTTCAGGAGCAAAGACTCACCACAGAATATTTTCTATTTAAATAGGAGGCACTTCATTATATCCTTTATTGTACTTTCTTTTGCATTTACATTAGTCTAGTGTTCCTTTCTTCCATTTTGAGTTTCATTAGTTTCTAAAGCTTGACAGTTAAGTGCCTTTTTCAAAAATGTTCCCCACCACTGGTTTGGCTTCATTACAATAGAATATCAATTTTGGATTTTGAAAAACTTTTAATAGCCAGATAATTGTCACTTTATGGAGATACCCATTAATTGCAGCAGATATCCTGTTTCTCAACTGAGGGCGTGTTTCTTTTTTTTTTTTTTCTTTTTTTTTTTTTTTAGGACCAAGTTCGTCTCTGCTACTTTATCGCACAATAATTTGATCAGTTGCTGTTGCTTGTCTTGTGGTGATTCAGAGTCATTTAGATGAACAATAATGAATGCTAATGGTATGCTCAGAGTCTATTTCACGCACGATAGGAGGGTCTACATGCATAGAGCCAACTACAACTGAGTATGAGGGTGTCTGAAAACATAAGAACAGGCTCTGGAGTCTTATTTCTACAAGTAATTTTAATTGTTATGTGTAGGAAAAGCTGCTACTGTGAGACTGTTTGTGTTAATGCCAAAATATAATAAGAGACAACAACTCTGAGCTCCTCATTTTCGCCATTTAAAGTCAAAAGAACTGCTCTAAATCTAGGGAGGACACCTCTCTGATATTGACAGTGAACATGGGTGCAAAGGAAGGGCAAGAAGTATTGCAGGTGGCTTACCAGTGTGGCTTCGCTTGTGCACCATCAACACATTGGGGCCAATGCAAACTATCCCACAGATATCGCACTTGAGCTTCCCGTTGGGCAGCCGGATACCGCCGGCCGAGGAGAAGGCCTTGGCTTCGGGGCTCGGCTGTGAGCCGTTCACCTTGGCCCCCGAGGCATCGATCACGCGCAAGTCTTCCGCGCACTCGTCCTCCTCCACGCCATTCATGTCACAGGCCAGCCCATTCTCCTCATCACTGCGAGCCTCAACTTTAATGTTACAGGCTGGAAAAGAGGGCAAGGGGGGGGGCCACGGTTTAGAATACGAGCATGCTTCTTTCATGATGTTATATGCTGAAGATGGGCAGTTTATCAGTGTGATATTGATACTGTGACATGAGAATAATAAGTGATCACTTCTGAAAATGCATGTGAATTTCTTTTGCTTTACAGATGAACCCCTTTTTCATTTTGCCTGGTTTGAGTTTGATAGTCATTATCATTGTTGTTTAGAGCTGTTCTTAAACTTATTTAATCTTTTTCATAATTTACTTTTTTTTTTTTATTTATTCTTTCTCTTATTGTTTGGCCTTTTATCTTGTTGAGATACTTTGATAAACAAGTTTTTTGTTTTGTTTTTATCTCACCTACCCTTTTTTCTTTTGTCTGAATGAGACACGTATTTTTCATTACTTATAAATTACACGGTTACTGACTCATTTTATAAAGACTTCGAACTGCAATTTATAGCTATGAAACTGAACTTTGAAACTCATTATGATAAAAAAAAATGCCATGCCTTTATTTGGATTCATTCAGCACAGTATTGAAGTCAGTATGGCTCTGTTCATCCACTCTTTCTTCTCTCGTAACAGCACCGCAACCCACTATACTATAAACTAGGGCAACAACAGCTTTGTAATGACAGGCCTCCTTCAGCGCACAATACGATTTTTTCATGTTTACCGGGATGCTGCATCAAAACTTCAAGAACCTTCCCCTCCTGTTTCAGGCATTTTTGTGAAAAGTCAACAAACATCAGATAAGATCGGCCCACAGCCGACACATTTAAACTGTACACTGCTGCTGCTTATTTGTTTCAAAGCATCATGGTAGATTTCATAAGGATACACAGGTGGAGCAGCATTTCTACTGTTTGAGCACGTCAGTGATGAGAGATGAAGAAACACACAGATCATCTCACACAATCACACTTTTTTTGGTGAAAGAAATGACAGCAAGATAAACAGGAAACAGAGACACAGGAAGCAGTGCGAAACTAGGGACGACAGCGGTGTGCATCAGAGCAACAGAGTGCGATGAACACACGCACTCGCACACACACAGACGAACACACACAAACGCACACACACACACACGCACGCACACACACACACACACACACACACACATATGCACATAAAGCCTGTTCACCATCTTGTACATTTACAGGGGTCTTGATCTGCCTTACTTTTGACACTTCCAGTTTTTTAGAGAACAGAAAGTAAACGCTGTACGACTCATCAATGGCAACTCTCATCTGGAACTATTAGAAAAAAGATCTATTGTTTCTACTCTGGTGTTCCCAAAGTGATCAGAAAAGAGAAGTGCCTTGTAAGTGTAAAATGCTAGCTCCCTCTTTTTCCCACCAGAGAACTTTAGAAACATTTAAGAGAACTGACTGATCTTGCAAGTCCCAGTATGTGGTTTTCATTTCATGTTGGCAGCCTGATTTCCCCATGCCTCTACCTCTGTTTGTACAACTGAAGAGGAAGAAGTGGAAATCATGAAATATAGGAATCTATGGAAAAGGGGAAGCTTCAGAAAGAGGGCCTGCCTAACTGAAATACCAAGAATTATGGAGAAGTGACAGAAAGGGAAGCACGGGAAAGGAATTGTAAAACAGCCTGTAACTGAAACAGGTTTTTTTTTTGTTTGTTTGTTGGTTTTTTTTTTTTTTTTTTTTTTGCAGGAGTCTCATTTTCACTGAGAGCCACTAACATAAATCCCCTGATACATATAATGTTTCCCATAGACAACAGGAGGAGCATAATTTGATGACAGGATCACAAGATGCTTTCAATCGTTTTTCCGATCAAAATCAAATAATCTGATCATCCATCTCCACACAAGAATTTTCTTATTTTCTGTCGCAGGAGAAACAATCTCCTCATCTGCTCGGCTGCTGAAACTTTTTGGACAAGCTCTCTGGTTTTTCTGCTGAGCAGATGAGATAAGACAAAAACAGACTGTGCACGCAAAGAGAAGGAAAGGCTGCACTGTGTAAAAACAAAAAGCTGCTTAAATTCTGTTAAAGTGCAAAAGATGACGATGAGTTATGGTGCAGAACCGTGTTACCAAACATACTACACGTGCATCTAAGATGTAATTACAATGCAATGAGGATAACAATGCATGTACACGGAAATCTACCATATGTCTACACAAAACTATTATGCAATCATATGGTCTGGTTGTACGTGCATTAACAGATATAACTTAAGACTTGGTACTCAACAGTTCACATCAGTTGTCCTCACAGTCCTGTCACATGAACTCATCTACACCAACTGCACCTTATTTTTGTATTACTTTTAGCAAACTAAACTTTCCCCTTAATTTGAGATACCTACTTTAACTATTTATCAGTTATCTTTCGCTTTATTTTTTCTTTAAATATTTAAGTAATTTATCCATTACTTTCAAATATTACACCATTTATCCACCATATGTTAACTTTTTAATATGTTTATCTGCTACGTTTAGCTAACTATTTTATCCAACACTACTTTTAGCAAACTACTGCTAACATTTAGCTAACATTATTTATTTTAACTGTCTGTCCATTGCTTTTAGCTAGCTACTTCAACTGTTTATCAGTTACTTTTAGCTAACTGTTTCAACTTCTCTCAACTAGTTTACACACACACTCTCACCAATGGTGTTCAAGTGACTCAATATGAAGATTTTTTTTGTTTCTTTTCAAAATGTTATTGCTATTTTTCTCAAATGAATTTTGCTAATCCTCCATCTTTACACATAGCCTAGACATATTTACACCTACCATGACATTTTGTGAACTACAGTCAAGTTGTGCACGTGTCCTACTCACTGTATTTGCAGAGGTGAAAGACAATTACTCTTGCACTGAGCAGCTAGAGTCATTTTTTTTTCTTTTTTTTTCTTTCGGAGATTTTACTTTGCACATGTTGCAAAACATGCGTATGAATTTCTCACTTCAACCACTAAGGTTTTCAGTCAGGCATAAGCACTTTAATAGTGATGTCTTTGTCAGAAAAAAAAAAATTAAGCTGGAGGGACTTTTGAGGGCAAGTGATCGAGTTCGGGTCATTTGCATATCACAGAGCTCGAAAGCAAAACTACACCACTTCAACCCTCCTTATTTAATTCTTGGTTTTAGCCACAACACCACTGATTGCCACAATTTTCTGGATAACTTTTGCACTTTTCCAATGTCAGCGGGGAGTAGTAAAATTATGTAAATCAATAAAAAGGCTTAATCAGACTATTGCCCTGCTCTGTATTAGTGAGAGGCATTTCTCTGCACATGTAGCTGCAGCCACTGATCCAGCACAAAAAAATCAATTTAACAGCAGTTTAAACCCTCAAGCAGATGAGTGCTGTACATGAGGCATTTTGTATATTCTCACTGATTTGAGGAAAATGAACAGTTGGAACAATGCACAAAAAAACTTTTATGTTTATCAGCAGTTGTCAGTTCCTGAAACATCTGTTACAGCAGTGAGGCTCTCAGGTTATCAGCCGGCTGAGGCAGACAGAAGGGAACCATGAAAGCTTCTCATGGATTTGGGGAAGTTGTGACTAAACTGGGAGTAGGAAGAAGGCTTTTTACTTTATATCATGTTTGTCACGGTCACACATCCTGATTAGCTCTTTTTGGGAAGCAACTGTCAGATCACATAGTAGACAAACAAAAAGGTCGCAATAAAATTGTTATAACCTGGTCTGGATCTAATCCTCAGACTACAGGTGACAAAAGGCTGTGACAAACAAATATATTTTTTTAAAAAGCTATAGCATTAGTGGCCAAAAAAGAGAAGAAATAATTAAGCTATACCAATAGCAGATACTAAGCAAGTTAGCAAGTGCGTTAGTTGTGCAGTGTGGAGACACAGGGAGCCTGCTGGAGGTTCCTGTTACTGACTTGTGCTGCTCTCACTGCCTGAAAATAACCCTATGTGCAAGGTAGTGGAACCACATGTGTTAAACCACGCCAGAAGCACACTCAACACGACTTGCAGGAACACCAAAAACAGCCTGCTTTTCCCCTCACACTTAAAAAAAAAAACTCGCCTCCATATTTTCGGGAACTAGACAGCTCAGTCTCCCTCTCAGTCTCATGTCTCTGAAATAGCGAAGGCTCTGTCTGAATCACTGAAAGTGAAAGAGAAATGGTTCAACCGGGATGTTGCGAAGACCATCTTGTGACTTTAACCAAATGTGTTATAGCCGCGTAAGACAGTCAAATCTATTCAACCTGATTTTTGTCTGTGACAATTTACTGAACAGTAGCAGTAACATTTTTGAAAAGAAAATCGTGTTCACTTTGACATATGAACCTCCCTCACGCTCGGAGTCATACGTGTGTGGATTGCAACATCGTGAATGCGCAGCAGCAATAATGATCCCAGGCTGTGAAGACTTATTTGCTACAGGAAACAACCTGGGTTTTGAGGTTTCAAGCTTTCGATACTTTGAGGTCCCATGTCCCACATATAGCCCCCCTGCGTTTTGCCTTTTTCATTACAGAGAACTGAGCAGCACATGATCCTGTGTGATAATTATAACTCATTTGGGCTTTTATCACAGAGGCAGCGATGCATAGATGTACCAGATACTTGCACTTCCCTTCTTTCGCTCTTTGGGCTCTTTCTCTCTTTCCCTATATAAACACATGTACACACACACACACACACACACACACACACACACACACTCATGCGAAGTGATCATACTGAATAGGGATTGAACAGTCGGCTGCCGGCCGTGCCCTCTTTACTGTCTTTACTTGCCGCAAATGAAAGTTAAACATTTAAATCATCTGTTATCACTGTTTCCCGTTTTCCCAGATTGTACTAAACGTCCATCAGTCGCCTGAGATGAGATGAAACGTGGCTCTACACACGCTGCCTGACTCTGCATAACACGGTCTCATCCTTTAGATGTCATCGCAGAACTCGGTCTCGAGTGTTCAGAAATTCCTGCATGACAACTCAACAGTTGTAAAGTAAAACAGTGTGTGTGTGTGTGTGTGTGTGTGTGCGTGTGTGTGCGTGTGTGTGCGTGCGTGTGCGTGTGCGTGTGTGTGTGTGTGTGCAGGTGTGTGACCTATGTGGTGCAGTGATGCACTGATCTCTCTTCAGCTTGGCATTCTTCCTGAACTCTTTATCTCCAGGAGTGTTGAAACTGTCTGATGGCAAGTTCTTCTTAGGAAACTCTTACACATCCTATTTCAGTTTCCTCTCATATATTATTTTCGACTGAGCGCTGCTTAATCTTCACCGTTATCCGGATAAGTGGAAAAACCCTGATAGGATCGTCGAACTTGAGCTGTCATGCTTCTTTTTTTGGTGTTTTTTTTGTTTGTTTATTTGTTTTTTTTGCCATGAAATAAAATCATTTGTCTCGATGAAAACAAGATATATTCTATCTAAAGGAATTTCCTCACACTTGATTCTATATATCGCCTATCTTTGTTTTTAATACAGATTTAATAAATTCATTCAATAACTGTGGATTGGATTTGGACATTTATGGACTATTAATGTCAGGAATAAACAATAAAAATAACGAGCAAAATAACACTTACTTATTTGTCCTGTGTGTGTTAAGTCTTGCTGCCATGTAGCCTTTAATGACCAATAATGATTTCACCACACACGTTAGAGGACTTGAGATAAATTTACACTGCCGACGTGAATCCCCACTTGCATGCTTCATCCTTATTTTCACCATGATATTCCCTGGCTTGATGCTCACAAACTCAAATCAAGGCCACATTAGCTATTCCTTAAGATTCGGCTTATTAACGACATACCATGGATCAAAGACTTTTTTTTTTTTTTTTTTTTTTTACCTTTTCTGCCAATGACCTAAATGTGTCTCTTTGCAGCTTTAAATTAATTTTTCCAAGGGATTTGGAACGGCAAATTTCTCCCACTGGATGTGCATGTATGGGATTAAGTTATGAAAACCTTTTTATGCTTTTTTATACATATATATGTTATTCTTTTGATACTGACATTACTTTCATGTAACCGTTTTACTCTGATTTGGATGCTTTGGGAGTGAATACATTACTGCTGTGGGAAAGGCACCGCTGTGGTTTTGACTCATTTTCATTGCCGCTTCATGGGATACACTCTACTTAATGTAGGAGTCACACACTCATACTAATTTACACAAGCATCAGTGATGTTCTGACTGGCCGTGGGTGCGTTTGCCTCGTACCTTTGTCCCCTCTGTTGTTCTGCTGGTGGGCGGAGCCGGCTGACAGGTCCTCGGGGACGGCCATGGGCTCCTCTGCCTCCTCGGATGCTTCGTTGGCAGGGGGGCTGTCCCTGCCTGGGGAGACACACACCAGCAAACACCCGTCACTCACCGCGCAACCCCTCGACATGTTTCATTCAGAAGAGGCAAAATTACCCCCAGGCGGGTGTAAGAGCCTGTCTGCGGGCCTATTGTATCTACTTTCTGCACTCAATGGCTCAATCATGCTGCAGTCTTTTACCTGGCATCTGGGCCATTTCCTGGGCTTCCTCTGTCTCCATGCGGTGCAAGTACTCTAATGGGAGAGAGAGGGAGATGTATTTGTGTGTAAGTTTAATCAAGTGCAGGCCGAGAAAACAACATTATAAAAAGCTAGAGTGGAGTAAAAGGTGTACTTCTCGGCATGACTCCGTCACCTCAGCGAGATCGCTCTTGTCACAGCCGCAGACACACCGCTGTCCCCCACATTACATTACAAAGAATTACAGACATTTTCATTACAAGTCTGACAGAGAGACTGGGCTTGGAAAGTGGCTTGGCTCCGGCTGATGGGGCCCACTGGTGGCGCGACTTTGCTGGGAATGAGCTTTCAGACCACATTTGTTATTTATTGTTAATTTCCTGCCACGTAATCATCCAAAAATGCAAACTGACTGCCGCAAAATTAAGCAGAAAATTAACTGGCCCCAGGTCACCGAGGATGCGGGTGTTTGCCGTGCCCAGCTGATCGGTGCTCGTGTTCTTTCTAATTTACTGAGCATGCATCGCTGAGCCCGCGGCCTGAGCACAGATGCATGCAAGCCGCAATCAGAAACAAAGAGGGGGAGAGAGAGTGAGAGGAGGAGGAGGAGGAGAAGAAGAAGAAGAAGAAGAAGAAGAAGAAGAAGAAGAAGAAGAAGAAGAAGAAGAAGAAAGAAGAGGCGAGAAGATGGATATACCGTAGAGACAGAGAAGCAGATAGCAAAGGGAAGGCAAGGAGTCAGAGGAGCAAATGCAACAGAACGGTGGAGCGAAGAAAAGAAAAGAGACAGAAAAGCAGGCCAGGGGACGGAGAAGTTCTCTTTATTTATTCATTTTTTTTAGCAAGTGGAGGCAGTCGAGTCCAGAAGCAATCCTCCGGCCAGGGCTGAATATCTGAGGAGTCACCAGTGCTCGTGGCCCCATTAATAATGGATGGCCCTCAAGCCTGCAGCAGATGGGCCCGACAGCCTCAGCCCCAGCTCCGCCACTTCAAGAAGCCCTCGGTGGGGCCGCTGCCCAGTCCAAGCAGCCACACAGGGAGAAGTGAAGCTCCCGAAAATAGCGAAACGAGCCCAAGGGAGAAGGGGAACCTAGGCCTTCCTGTTTTACTGACAGATGGCTCCACACATTTGGAACAAATAGTGGGAAGCGACCGGGCCGCTCTGTCGCAACGCACAATATTCTGCGGAGTCAAGTCAGGAGCTCGGCGGCCTGCAGACGCCCAGGATGCAAGTGTGAAGGGGGTGGTGGGGCAAAGGTCACTGGTGCAGATGATTTGTTCAGCACAACACATGGGTGTCGCGTGTCACTGTGCTGAGCTCTGACTCTGCGGCGCCGTTCTTCAGCATCTGGAGTTTGGAGGTCGGGTACAGAGGGAGGTATATTCTCATGTGCCCTTTTTTTCTGGGCAGATGGCTGCGAGGGGAAATACGGATGTGTTGGTGGGGGGGCTTCGACAGAAATAAAAAAGAGAGTTCCTACATTCAGCCACAACCCACTTGCGTAGGCATGTGGAAAGTAAGGTGCACGTAGAATATTCAGGAAGTAGCTATTTTGTTCGAGAAAGTGGTGCTACTTTCGTGCCCTTTTTTTTATTATGTCACTTTTTTTTTTTTTTTCGTTAAACTTCCTCCTGTATTGTTTGTGATTGTACCTGAATCTTTAGACACTGTGCCCCCAAGTATTGAACTGAACTGGAACTGACCTTTGCCAAAAGTTGAAGGTACTTTTGTTTTCTTTTTTACTAAACGCAGGTTCCAAGCAGTTTAAAGTTTTTCATCCCACATGAGCTTTTTTCTCATTTATGTGATTGAATCAAACTGAAACAATGAAAATAGCAGGATTGTTACCCCTCATTGCTCATGTCCTGGTTGTAACTAGGTGTGTTGGTGTGTGTGTGTGAACTGGGGGCAGGTGGAATCTATGAGCCAGTGAAGTGGAAGTCACAGAAAAGACTTCTGAGACTTGTGACACAGAGTGCAGGGGGGACTGGAAAAGTTTTGGTCTGAGTACGTCAAATGAGGAGAGGCAGGAAGAGGCTTGTGGGTTGACAGAATTCTCGGTCCTTCTCCTGTGTGTGTGTGTGTGTGTGCGCGCATGTGCGTGTGTGTGTGTGTGTGAGTCTGGTGGGGGGTGGGGGTGGGGAGGGAGTCAAGAGGCGTCTGCTCATAGTGAGGTGCAAAAGCTACACCAGGGAGCAGGGTGGAGATGAGAAACAACGAAACCGTTAACAGATACTGAGGACCACACCAGCACACAAGTCTGGGTACCCTGGAGTAAACACACTACACATTTAACATGAGCAGTAAATACGGGAACACATGAAGGAAGACTCACGTACAGAAAAAGATGCAACAAAAACAGCTATTGTTCAGTGTTTCAGTTAGAACTAAATGAGGCTTAATTCCTGCAGTTTAAAAAACAGAAATAATATTCACACAGTAGGTGTAGCCACAGCCAGAATTTGATTAAGTCTGCTACCTTTAATGAATTGATGAATCATTAAAACAAAAATAACTGTGTGAGTTAAGACCAAAGAGGCTCGTGTTAAATGTTTTTAGATGTTTCTGCTTATGATAACTTTAACTTTGTCTGCAATAAAACATTTAAACAGATAGATAGATAGATAGATAGATAGATAGATAGATAGATAGATAGATAGATAGATAGATAGATAGAATTTTCTAATTCCATTCTCAAACAAACAATATGACTCATAATTCTAATTGTTTTTAATCATAAACTAAAAGTTTCCACTTTGTAAACTTACTGACGAATAATGAAAATATCTGAGTCAGTAATTTAATAATTTTCATGAGAAGTGTCGAAGCTATGGCAGCTTCCTTATCAACCATTAGGAGAAGAGATTGTCCTACACTGCCAAGCAATGTGGTACATGGTCACCTTTGTTCATGTGCACATGGAGATTCTCATCAGTAATTCATGAAATGTATGGGTGTAAGTGGGTAGATAGCGTTAGCGGATGTGTTGTGGGGAGCCCGTCGAGGGGGTGAGGGGAGAGTAAAGGTGCGCTGGAGAGAAGTTTCCTTCATTTGCATCTGACACACTTCACTACTCTGCTATTCAGACAGTACAATCATTTTAATAACTGTCTGTCTTCCTCTGCAACCCCCCGCCCCCCTCCTACTTCTGTTTCTACTGACAAGAAAGATAGTGTAGCTGCAGACAGGTTTGCAGCACTTTCAGTACTTCTCTTTCCAACTGAGCAATGAACAAGTCCTGTTTTTGCAGGTACTCGGGTTCATCTCCAAGTTTTAACATCTGGAACTTACTTCTCCATGAAGTGTGAGTTTTCTTTTGTCGAACGTTTGCGGTTAAGTCTGATTTTAGTGAAATTACTGAGTCGATGACAAATTTAAATAGTTCATAATCATACTTTTAGTTCATACTAAAAATGTTCCTCTAAAAAAAAATAAATAAATAAAATACACATTATAGCCCGCATAAAGCACATGAAGCTCTCGTAGTCTCACAGTTTAAAATGAGATGACAACTCTCTGGCTCGATTTTTCACCTCACACAAACCCAGATACAAGTGCCGCAATTATTACAAGCGGGATTCATTCTTAATTTGAGAAATATTTTTAAGCCCAATTGGGACTTTGAATATTTTCTACAGAGGTTAGGCGTCCACAAACAGGAACTTTAAGTTTTTACCCGCGTTAAAAAAAAAAAAAACGAAGCAAACAATTAATTTCCTCAACATTTCTGTCTGGGCGTTGATGAGAGACTTTCCACCTCAGAGTAAAAAGTTTCAGCAGTCCTGCCTACATGTGTGTGCGCGTTTTTTTTTTTTTTTTCACCCCTTCACACGTTCAGACGTTTAACTGAGACTGTGGCTCGAACAAGTGAATACAAAGCGTAACGGTATGGCAAAATGATCAGATTTATCGATTATTGATTTATTTGAGACATTGAAAATAGGAGCCTTAGTCGGGGCGTGCTGATTTCCTGTTTAAGCAGCGCTGAAATATTTTCACATTCGATTTGATTTTTTTTGGTGTTTTTTTTTTTTTTGTTTTGCTTTTTGTTTTTGGGCCCTCGACAAATTTTATCAAAAAGTTTTTATTTCCTGAAAATCGTTTAATATTGAATGAAAGTCCAGATACAGAGACTGACTTTACTGAGTGCGTACAGCTGTTGCAACAGGTGCTACAACAGGAGGGTAAAATTGTATGAAACAGGTTGAAATCATAACGACATAGCGTAGATAAATAGTAGGACATGTTAGAAATTAGATTAGTATTTTTATATAAATGTTAATCAATGTAAAATAATTTATCCACATGTTCCCAGAAGAAAAAGACGCATGGAAAATGAGGAACATCCCATTATTTTTCTTAAATGACTGGCTCTACAGGAACAAATATCGCGGTAAAATATTGTTTTTCCTGTATTTAATTTTGAAAAGTACTGTTATCTGTTACATGTCCTTGATCAGCAGAAAAATACGCGGACCAAACGGGATCTGATGCTGCAGCGCACCTGCACCGAAACTACAAGGAGTCTTTTTTCCAGTCAGGTGCAAATGTCTCCTAAAAAATCTCGAGAGCGAGCTACCTCAGTCTTACAGGTCTGGACCATGTGTTTGAGATCAGTGTGGAGCTGAAAAGCGCGGTGGAAGTCACTTTACCTGCTATTCCTTGAGTTTGCAGTATGAAGTTCTTCCAACTCTCCCCGGCTCCATGTGCAGAAGGTCGCAGCGCCGCGGCGGCCCCATGGAGCTGCGCCCTGAGTCCCTCCCCTCTCCACTGCACTTCCTCGTTCCAGCCCAACATGACTATGTCTCTGAGCTCGTCTGAGGCATTTTGCTTGCTTTTATCCACAGGCCGAGTCTGCAATGGGGAGTCGAGCCACCGAGCCCTTGGCACTTGCTTTGTGCCGTGCCAATAAAAGCTGACACCCAGTAGACCATTACTGGCAGCCATGCATGAGATGGGATGAGGCGCGCGAGGAGAGTGGACCGTTCATTGTTTATTTATTTCATTCTCACTGAGGAAGCTGATGAGGGGGACTCCTCACTTGCATATTGGACAGCTCCCCTTCTGTCACCTGTTCTGGCACACTGAAGCAGTCCATGAAATTAACACAACCGTTTTCTTTCCCATATAATGAGGTTGTTTTCTCTCTATGATCTTTACTCTTCCTCTCCAGTGATGCTCCCTTCAGAGTCAGAGCCTCCTGTCCCACATCATCACATCGGCAGGTGTCCAGAACCAGGTTTATGTCTGAACTGGACCACAATTTTTTCTTTTTTTTCAACATTTTTACTCTTTCTTACTTTAGGTCTTAAGCCGCATGTAAACTGAGAGCATCCTCCCTGAGTCAGAGACTCAGTCCTGCAGATGATCATCATGCAGATATGCACTATTCTCACTGAAATGTGGTTTTCCCTCTGGTTTAGTGCGCAGGAGTGTATAAACCAACAGTGTGAGTCCTAACCCATCAGAGATATTTTAGTTTCAGATGCTTCCATCAATGTCATACTTTAACAATAGAAAGTCAAAACTGTTTGGAGGTGACTTGAAACTGCTCAAATGTAAATGAGTAAACCGTCTTAGCCTTACTGTCTGCAGCTACATATTTCTGGATAGGCTGCAATAATACATCTCCCTCTCTTGTCCCATCATTCATACTGATAGTATTAAGACAGCGGCAGCCACATATCACTATACACAGACCCTTTTAAGATGTTTAATAACTACTTTCCAATTTTCTTACGCTGCCAATCTGACTGTCAGTCTCTTGTGCAATTTTATAGTAGAATCCAGACAACGATGGGCGCCTATATATTGTCTGAACTTATTAAAAGAAATATAAATTGTGGATTAATATTGATGGAAATTCTAAATAAATAATGAGTTACACTTCTCGTTTGGCTAAAATAACTACTCACCTCTCATTTTCAAATATGTCCTGCCATTATTATCTCATATGAATATCTGCTGGAGTGGATCTTTGCCATAATTACTGTATTTTAAGTTAGAGCTTATAGTATTAAGCTTGAGCTTTTCCCTCCCTGCACTGTATATATTCACTGCTGATGGAGTTACAGGAGTTTATATTCAGTTTCCTTGGGGGTTATACTCCACTCTTTTCTCTGCTTGTGACTGTTTTTCCCAGTATCCCACTGTCATCAGGCCCCACAGAGCACTCTTATCTCAGGAGAGGCTGTGTGTGCTGGATTGCTGAGTCACCTTTCGTGGGAGGCTGCCCTTATCTCCTAAGAAGCACAACATTCAGGCAGTTGGTTGCAAAAGGAGGAACTTTGGGCAGGAGTGCTGTGGCGTGCTGTGTCTTCACGGCCATAATATGGATTGCAGCAACGCTCTCTGACTTCCTCAAAGCCTCGCGCCCGACGCTGCGTTGTCTATGAAGTGAGAGGCTGCAGTTTTCTGACACTTGCAGGTATGAAAAAAAAAAAAAAAAAGCTGCAGGATGGGGCGAACTCCTGAGGCCACACAGAGGGAATGCTGGGACTGTAATGTGACTCAGCGCTATCAGCGAACGCAGAGGTGTCCAATCATGACTGGGGTCTTCCCTGGCACAGAGATACTGTCCTCTACAGTGACACAGCAGCTTCACTCACTCACTGTTGAGAGCCAAAACACTGTTTCAGGACAATGATTCAGTCAAGATTTTAGAGAAGTTACTGCAAAACTGGGATCGATGTTCACCACGGGCTGAGTCGCTGATAATCATCCTGATATCTGCAAAGCGTGTAAATGGTTGTTGGTCATGTGGAAATGCCTGCAAATTATTTTTGCAGAGGGCTTCAAAGTTTTCTAAGATGACTTAATTCTGCAGCATTTACGATTACACTTCATGTACAGGCTGCAATCCACAGCTCCAAATCAAACCGCGCATAACCCTCTGCTCCCTCGGGTTAATCCACAACCTGCAGCAAGCCATGCTGCTGTAATTAATATCATTACCTGGCAAGTCTCAAAACATCATCAGGCAGCGTAGCTGGCTGTACTACCGAACAATAGGCTCCGGCTGGTTCTTATTTCATGGATCTTTAAGCAGTATTCACTGTTTCACATTTGGAAGCATGAGCAGCATGTAACCCTTAATTGGTTTCAACACCTTAATAAGTCAAAGACGTTCAAGACTGATAATCACATTAAATAGTCCAATTTATCTAAAAAGTCAATTGCAAACTGAAAAACTCTCTTTCTTTAGGAATGCATTATGCTGTGAGGATGTCAGAGTAAATTAAATTCCCCTCTGCACACTAAAGCATCAATTTCCTTATGGTAATTATCTGCTGGAATAGACGTGTCACTAGAAGGAGTCAGGCATGCTTGACATTTAGCCTTTTTATAGAGAGGCGATGAGTAAAAATTAAGATGAGGAAAAGGAAATTAATCTCCAGCCCAGGCAGGCATTGAGAGATCCTGGAGGATAGTGGCTGAATCAATCATGATGTTTGTGAGCCTGTTTTGAAAAGGAGCCAGTGATGAGATTCAGACCACAGGCTGGAAAATCTGAGGAGGAGGAGGGGGGCCGCTTTTTTAGCAAATAGAGTTATGATTGCTGTGGGGAGGTTACTCAGTTTTATTGGTCTGAGACACAACAGCAAAGAGCATCTAGGGTACAATACCAGTTTTAAAGCAACAGTTCAAATTTTAGGATATGCGTGTCGTTGCTGCCTCTGTCTTCTTTGAATTCAAAGTTCATAGTGAACATTTGAAGTAATTTGCCTTGTGATGCATCAGCTTGACCCATTGCATGTCATCTTGGCCATCGTGACACCAAGATGATAAAATTACCACTGTTGGCTGACTTTGTTAAAAGCTACTGCCCGTAAAGCCCATAAATGAGTTAGCATTTTAGCGCTTCCAGTTGCGTAGGGTTTTTGGTTATATGGCTGAAATAAGGTCTGTGGTTAACACAAGCTCAAAAATTTTCACGGTTTATTCTGCGACATAAAATGCGTCGGTAAATACCCCAGTCCTGATTTCTTACAGCTTTTACATCTCTGCTAACAAGTGTTTAAATGAAATGAAAACCGATCTTTTCACCAGTCCACCTTTACAGCCTCGTTGTGATTATATTTGCAAACTATCACTAACTCTGTAAGAAGAAAGGCTTTTGTAGAAGAGGTCAGAGCTACAAACTACAAGTTGAAATTCAGTGGTGGTGACGTTGAAGTCATGCGACCATAGTGTAGTTCGTTAATAGCCTAACGTTAGCTTTTTACCACAGAGGATTGTATTTAGGCTTCATACGTTATAAAAGTGGTTCATTTGTGAAGATTATTGTGCTGAACAAAACTGTAAGTATCATAAATGTTCACTTATCACAGAGCTTGTTTTCTGATGTAATCTAATAGGAGCCAGGGTGATATTAACTTCCTAGTTGGCCTACAAAAAAATGTCATCCCTGCAGCACTCTATGACAACGAGTCTGAGGACTCGCCTGCTAGCTTAACACCGAAGAGGCTTGAATATGCTGGACTGGTAGTGTTCAAAAGAGTTCAAACAACTTACACCTTTGTTCAAATTGTTCAAACTTGACTTTGTGACAGCCCTTTTTTGGATAGTACCAAGCTAGCTATTTCCCTGCTTTCAGTCTTTCTGGTAAGCTAAGCTAACCAGCTGCTTGGTGTGGCTTCATGTTTGGTACACAGAAATGACAAATAAGCGATCTTCCCATTAAACTCAGCAAAAAAGCTAATAAGCTTTTTTCCCAAATGTGAAATTATATTTCTAAGTGTCTAAACTCCACAAGTCCTTAATTGATAAAAAAAAAAAAAAAAAAGATCAGTAATTAGTTAATTGTTGCTAAGTCTGGTCCCTCCTTCATTTGGATTGTGGTTAATGAGGAATATTGGCTTTCTAAATTTACGCTTCAAGTCAAGGTTGTCCAGCACATTAACTGTCGGTTACTAGACTTTAATCACCAACAGAGCTGATCACTGATATCTTCCCAAAACATAGAGTGCACTCTAGATTTACTGGATTCACTGCAATGCAGAGGAAATCTCGATAGTGTATGTTGGTGTGGTTAATAACTCTGAAATCTTAAAGGAGGAATTCCAAATCTTTTACACATTAAGTTTAGTCTATTGGTCAGTGCTGGACAGTAACACATTACTTCATATTAGTAATGCAGTAAAAGATTACTCAGTAATTACAGTAATGTGATCATTTTTCTCAATAGTGTAAGGGTTTAATACTCCAAATTTTACATTAAACCCAATAGTCCCAGTAATGCTTCATTACTCTGACCACTGAGGAGTTGACTTGACAGCTGTCATACCAGGAGTTTGATGGCGGGCTGATATCAGATCTGTGTTTAACGGGGAGATCGTGCTGTTAGCTGGAAGTTGATGGGCAGTTAGCGTCTATCAAGAGAGGAGAAACACAACTCCTGGTAACTCCAAAGTTGTTGCATTTAAAATGTTGTGTGGTCTTAACCAGCTTGCTCACATTACCCATTAGCCTACATGTGGAACTGGCCTGGGTTATGAGCAGATGTGGTAGATGTGTGGACATCCTCGTAACATCTGCGTCATCTGCATCATCTGCAAAACGAATGCAGACTGCTTGTGAATATAATGTCTGTCTGTGCTTTAAATAAAAACACAAAAAAAGAACAGATCATAGAAAAACAAAAAGATTAGCAAGTTTAAATGCATAAATACAATAAAATACATAAAAAGTCACAGTGTGTTAAGAGAAAAGTAGCTAGAGTTGGGAAACATCTAAGATCTTCTGGAAGTTTATTGCAGCTTAAAGCATAATAAGTGAATGCAGCTTGTTTTGTTTT